TCCTTTATTAATTAAGCGTGACTCTGCCAGTATTAGCAGAGCCCAGCATTGGCCACTGGGCTCTGCTCACACCAAGACCTGTGAAACTGCATTGGGCACTGGTGCAGGCACTAACAGTAACAACGTTACGTACTTCGCGGGAAAGATCACACGGAACACAGTGAACAGCTGATTGGCATTGCTGCTTACATGTACATGTAGTTCATTTGTCCTTTTTTTCTTCCTAGTACTAGTATACGTGTAAATTCTTGGCTCTCCATCCTAATCTAACTGTTGTCTTTCTTCACTTAAAAAAACGTCATTGTGCATCACATGTACACGTACATGTACATGTACAATCATGTACATGTATGTACTGATTTGGGAAGACAGGCCTCGTGAGATTTACAACTGCTTGGCTTCGTCGTTACGTACATTGTAGCCGCAGGGCTATTATTAGTATACAATCATGTACATGTACACCGTCACCGGTAATCATTGGCTCTCCATCCTAATCGAATCTTCTCTGGGGTATTCATGTGAGCCTTGTCGCCATGTTTCCCAGCTCTCTGCTATTTAGCTGGTGTAAAGGGGGTCACACGGTGACACAGATGAGGCCAGACGGTACGAACCCAAACAGTTCACTGTCTGCTGAAACGAGTGCACCTTGACGCGTGAGAGCCACACTTTCGTGATGGTAGGGTATTCTAATAAAGATGAGAAAGGCAACAGAAACAGAGCACACGCCATATGCCACACTCACCGAGTGGCATATGGCGTGCACGCAGGCAGCGGTCCAATGACGAAGCGAGGCCAGAGCAAGCACCTCATCATGTCATCAATCACAGCCAGACGCCACACGGTGGAGACACTAATTGGCGGCAGTGTTGGCCAGGGAATCCTGGAAGCGGAAAGTCCTATTCATTCCTGGAAGTCCTGATCAAGTGTGCATGACATATAAACACAGTCATAGAACGCATTACGTGCACATCACATGATCATGTGAAGCGATACTCGGACTGTCCACGATCATCATGATATCATTGAACTCCAGTCGAGTCATACGCTCTGCTCAGAAGTGTGTTTGTGTTTGTTTGTTTTTTTTGCTATGTTCCGGTGTTCATTACTTCAAGTAACAAACACACTGACCTGGCTGAAGAGACTCCATGGATCCAATGAGCGTTCACAGACGATCATCACGCATCATGTGCATAATATACAGTACAGTCGAAATCTGCAGCGAATGTACCTGTATGTGTGTTTGCGTGCGTGTTTGTGTGTGTGTGTGTGCGTGTGTGTGTGTGTGTGTTTGCGTGCGTTTGTGTGTGTGTGTGTGTTAGTGTGCGTGTGTGTGTTCGTGTGCGTGTGCTTGTGTGTGTGTGTGTGTGTGTGTGTATGTGTGTGTGTGTGTGTGTGTGTGTGTGCGTGCGTGTGTGTGTGTTCGTGTGCGTGTGTGTGTGTACATGTACATTTTGTACACAACTGACATCATTGAAAACAATCAGAAGTCAGAACTGACCTTTTTTTTGTTTGTAGCACAGTGGTTGAGTACAGCGTAGACGTATCACTCACTGACATCACTTTCACCAAGGACCAAGGAAATGAAAATAATTACCGTATACCATGGTATACTCTCTGACAAGGTACACCACTGTGTACATGTAGTGACTAGGACCATCCAGCATTCTTTACATTGTAAAGAATGCTGGATTTTAGGATAGCAATGATACTTGCTTAGCAATACGGTCATACTCGTGCTCCCATCTCTGTACTGCAGATCAGTCCCACAAAGGACGATACTGAACCGATTGCAGACTGAGCTAGCTCTGCAATGCAGTACAGAAACACTCCATACAGCTTCGTCCTTTCGGGTCTACATGTATCTTGGGACGGCTGGGTGCTAGTAGTAGTACCGGTAATACCCGTGCGTCACTGCATGGTGACACGTACACTGTAGATCTATGTGGGGCTGCTGGTCATCGGTTGTTGTTGTTGGTGGTGGTTTGGCCAAGTGGTACTTTGGCATCACCAACACAGCACTCAGCAGTATTATCACAGTTTCTGAGGACACAATGGCGATGAAGTGTTGGAACAGTGGCCAATGATGGCAATCAACCCTATCAGAATGTGTGTTACATCGCTCCTTCAATATTTGCCCAGGGTAGACTAGAGTCGACGTGTTCTTGATGTTTGCCCTCTTGAACCACATGCACATACACCACACACTGATGAAGTTCTACTACTACTTTTGTAGTACATTACTATTAGGACCACGCTGATACTACCTTCTGAAGTTTTCATCGAGTTTCCCGTTTGCAACAATCAGCTAAAGTGAGATGTAGTGTAACGGTAACAGATACAAAGTTGGCAGATGCTGGTATTTGCGGCACGTCGATTCACCGCCATCACATACATTCATGATTGCGCATGCATGCATCTACACGTAACGTTAGAAGAAAGCATTGCTAAAACTTAGTAAAAGAAAGAACTCTAGTGTGCTGCCCGTGCTAGTACATGTAGCGCAGGCAAGGAATTTCCATCACAGGCATTCAATGATTGCCGTAACAGACGGTGACGGTATTCCTAAAGTGGTCAGCAGGAATTTCTTTCCACTTTGTTCCGTACAACAAGTGGAATCCACCAATATAGTTTCAATGATAAAAATGCAGGAGTTTGTGACTGGTTATTGTTCAAACTTCGCTCGCGGGAAGTATGCTACTTGCATACCTACATTTGTACATTACAAGAACGTTTCAAGATCGATTATTCTCTTCAATGGCGTGCTATACAGTCATGTACATGTAAAGTGAAGCCGGAAAAGCAGAGTGTGCGTCTCGGAGCACCGGGCCAGGAATTCACAGCGGGAATCGTATCAGATCCAACTCATTGATAGAAGATGTTATGCATGTCAGTTACATGTATGCAATAGTGGATGTAGGAAATTATTTTATTAATTGTGCACGTTGAAGACATACATGTACATTGTAGAATACTGTTCCAGTCATACAGTGTACACTACGTCATAGTCCCACTGTTTGGAGAACTGTGTGCTACTACTGTGCACACTTGATTCCTGTGTGTTCACATTTTGGTAATTTCCTGGTACAGAAACCAGGCACTTACATGTACATGTACATGTATACTGTACATGGAAATTTTCCTTACGACTAAAATTAATACTACCGGTAATGCCGGATAGTCCCTAAGCCTTGCGGCCTTGGGGGAAACAAGGCTGCACACTTCAGCTGATTCATCATTGGGCACACAAATAAGAAATAACACAAGCACTCTCGTCAAACAGAACTATCCAGAGAGACCAAGATCCAAGGTGGAGAGGTGATTGTAGTCCCGAGCCTGCTGGTCACCGTAGACTAGTGTTACTGTTGGGTGCATGCTTTCCTACGAAATAGAAATGATCCGGCACTCCCAGGTAGGCAAGGACTTTAGTATTAATTTTCCAGTTAGTTATTTGTACAGTCATGTACATGTCCTGTACTGTAGCTACAGGAACGCGTGACAATGGAACATAAATGTCACTTCTCTGCGGTTGACGTCACAGTATAAGAATTAGCAGAGAAGTAGTGTTCTCTGTCCGCCCGGGAACGGGTACGAGGGAGCACGGTGTGGGATAAAAGGAGGTGACGAGTGCAGGGTCGGCCTCTTTTGTCTTTGTGCGGAGAGTTGAGTGAGAGTGCCCACCCACCCCAGTAATCATCATGTAATTTCATACATCATCGCTTTGATTATTCTAGTGATTTGATTATTCTAGAGTGTGCGGATGCATAATGGTCGGGCGTGGTTTTCTGGTTGTACGTAGCTGGAGTTTTTTGTTAGACTAGGCAATGGTTCTGTATAGTCATGACCACGGAATTGTGTGCAAAGACAATAAGTTGGGGCGCTGTGCTGTGGCTGTGGTGGCCCTTTTGTCTTTGTGCTGTGGTGGCCCCCACTGGCAATGTTCACGTGTTCAATAGTGGTGTACACGTATGAGTGAGTGTGCGGATGTGTGCGCAACGAGCGAGTGCAGGGTGGATAGAGAATCTGGCTTATACACTGTACAAAGTCATGTAGAAGTCTGTTGGCGCCATGTTGTCAAAACAATAGCCTCCCGGCCTTTGCCTGGCCCACTCAGAAGATGGCATCAAGCAGTCACAACACAGACTGACTGTGTCACTGATTCTGTGCAGGACTGTTTCCCGGAAATGACCAGCAATAGGGCAGGGCTTTCAGTGCCTGTCGCTGCCGTCATGCTTTCATCACGTTACTATACTCCTCCCGTTATCAGAAACCACAGTGAGACAGGCAGTGCGGACGTGGTCTATAAATAATTGCTTTTTGAAGGAACACGTCATCCATTCAAGATGAAACAGTACGTCACACTGCATGAACAGTGTGACTATAGTATACTGTAGTCTATACACATGTCACTGCTTCATAGCACATGACAACGGTTTGCTCAGTTATCAGAGGCGTTCATCTACATGTTGACATTGTACAAGTACATTATAGTACAGTGTACGTCATGTAAAAGTACGTCCCGGTATCTACAGAGAATACAGCTTACAGGGCATGCCAAATCTGCGGACAGAGCCGCTTCGCCCTGGCTTTGTGGACTCATCAGTGCAGCACAGCATAATTAGACCTACCCTGATAACAATGAAATATTTTCCAAAGCCAGATTTAAACCAGGCCCAAACATACATGTACCTTAGCAGCAGAGCGCTCTGCGAAACGCAAACAGCAAAGGCACTACCACACATATGTACATCACTGATCAGATTACTAAACTACTACAAGAGCAGGAGCAGGAGTGAATCACTGACATGATAGACATGTACGAGTATGCTTTGAGCCCATGCCACGATCTCTTATGCATGCACTGTCCGAATTGGGGGTTCGTCTTGTACTCCGGCCATACGTGGCAAAGTTTGAAAGATCTCAAACGGTGCCGGGACATTCACACGTCACGTGGCCATGCTGAGAATGGCAGAAGTAACATCACCAGCACAACAGCACACTGATCCACTTTCATAGACACAACTTCAGCTCGCGTATCGGTTGAATTCTAGACCGTGTAAACTGAATATAGCATGTTGGCATGCACGACCGTGACACCGGATATCATGCCCTATAGACTTGTGATGACTTCACCGTATTGCCTAGCTTGAAATATACTCAGCTTGTGAAGCAGCATGGCACTAGGACTCGGCAAAATTATTGGAAGAATAGTGTTTAAAATTGGGAGTTAGGGACTGAAATGTCATACGGAGAATATGCCAGATTGCGGCTCATATGCGGGAAAAAAGGATACCATGCATCCGAGCAGAGAACAGCAGCAGCAGAAGAAGAAACAGTGTGTGCAAGCCCTTCTGCTCGGTTTGAGTAACTCATTGCGTAGCTCCGGGATAACAGTACTGTCATACCGGGACACCGCTGATACCTATGATAATAGATTGCCGTTATGCGCAGTCCGCACGTGATCACGGACAAACGCTATGCATGCCTTCGCTTTCCAGTGTACTGGCATCAAGCACACACACACACGACTGAAAGCCAAGTAAACACCTGTTATCTAAAGCCAGTGGGTCCAGGCCAACCAGACCTACTGGTACAGCTTCTATAGAACTATAATAACCCTGAGCCATTGAGGTAATACGTCACCAGAAGACATGGGAATGCCATTGTCAGACATCAGTCACTGCCATGCAGAACAGAAAATGCACAATATATATTCCATGGTACATTCCCCCCATCTAGCCTTCTGAAACACACACACACACAAACACACACACACACACACACGTACACACACGCACACACACACACACACACACACACACACACACACACACACACACACACACACACACACACACACACACACACACACGCGCACCAAGAACGCAGTGCATCCAGAACTCGCCGGAGTCCGCTGCAAGCGGCATGTGCACCTACAAGTCGACAATGATCTCGACGTAGTTCTGTGGAAAGTACCCAGCTTTCCCCGTGCTCTTCACCTCACCCTCCAGCCAATTCTCATCAATCCGTCCGGTCAGGATGATAGTGTCGCCTTCTTCGAACGACAGCTCTCCTTCATTCTCGGCTTCAAAGTCGTACAGTGCTTTGCAGTGCGCCTGTTGCTTGCCACTACTACCTCCGGGAACAGCCGGGCTGCTCGACTTACGGTTGGCGGCTACTGGCGGAGCGTCGGAGACGGCACCGTTCACACTGTTCCCGGAGCTGTCCTCCTGCGGAGAGCGCATACCCAGCTTGACCGGCGACGAGATGTCCACCGTCTGCAGAGAGCGACGCGTTGCTGCGCGAGGCTCGCGCACCGAGCGCGGCCGAGTCTGTGAGCTGGACGCCCTGTGCACGGTGACAATAGCAGATTTCCAGCACAGGATGTTTTGATTGTAACCACAAACACACACACACACACTCATCCATGCATCCATCATTGATAGGGATTAATAGGAGAGTAGCTAGGTCATGATAAAAGTACAGTAAGTGCGCCGCGCCCTGTAACAATAACAATAGCCGAGACCCAGCACAGGATGTTTTAATCGTATCCACACACACACACACACACACACACACATCCATGTGCCCATCATTGACAAAAATGATGAACGAGAGCCGCTAGGTAATGATAATATCAGTGCGTAGTGCAGTGCAGCAAAGCAGTGGATAGAGAAACACAACCTCTGGCTTCTCACCAATTACAATGTAGGTCCTAACTACTGTATTTTCTAGAGTATAACCCACACTGTTAACACCAGTGATCTTTAAAACCCAAACAAATCGGTGCGGCTTACAATACAATGGTCAAATTAACTCGGCGATTACGGTATCTGCATACCATGTGCCGTGCATGTCACCAATGCCAATACAATATGGGCTATTTATCCGGGGGAAAGGAGGAGATACAGCATGTAGATAGAGAGCCATGCCAGTCATACCAATCACATACACAGTACAGGCAGACTCATGCAATATGGACTATTGACAGATCGTCAGTTTTGGTGACCATTGCCCCCCCCCCCCCCCTCCCCAGTATAGATGAGTCAAGCAATCAGCAGCACAGCGGCCGGATTAAACCTTGGCGCTTACCTCTCTTGCAGGCCATCGCGGAGTCTAGTAAGGATGTCAGCAGATTCCCTGTGCATCTCCAGCATAGCCTCTGTCAGCGACTGCAGCTGAGAAATTTGCTCAGCCTGCGCCGATACAAGAACAAAAAAGACAAAGTTTGTAATACATGTATACACAGAGGAACATATTGAAATGCTGTTGGAAGCAAAATTGTTCGGACTGATCATTGTCACATGACCAATTTCTTGAATTTAGGAAGTTGATTAGATTACTTGTACTTGGGGTGGGGACGACTGAGGTCAACCTGCAAAGATTTCTAAACACAGCCGGTTGATGATGGTAGTGATGCTCGAGGCAAAGCTCATTCATGCTATTTGAGAGGGTGGATTGCCGGCAGGCTATAGACCACAGCGAAACACCGGGTGACCACAATCCATAAGGGCAACATACTCGCATAGTTTGCAAGCAGCCTGTAACTGGAGCGGATTAGGGGGGGGGGGGTCGGGAGCAGCCTGCACAGTCAGACCTCGCTTAACCGCACTCATCCGTTTTCCACAAAACATCCGGATGGGCGAGAGAACCGGATATTCGAACACACATACTGTATGGTATGCATGGCATATGCCATAATCGGTAAGAACGATTTTCTTGCGAATGGCGAGGGATCCGGATAAAAGAGGACCGGATAAGCGAGGTCTGACTGTACTTAAAATCGGGTGGATGGGGGGGGGGCAGCCTGTAACCGGGGCGGATTACGGGGGGAGCAGCCAGTAACCGGGGCGGGTTAGGGGGGGGGGGAGCAGCCTGTAACCGGGGCGGGTTAGGGGGGGGGGAGCAGCCTGTAACTGGGTTGGATTGGGGGGTGGGGGAGCAGCCTGGATCCGGGGCAGATTAGGGGAGCATCCTGTCACTAGGGCGCATTAAGGAGGGGTCCGGGTCCGAATAAACCCCTTATTTTCTGCCCACCACGGTCCATGCCTGACTGCCAATCCATGCACGGTGCATCCGACATATGTGTACTCCAGCAGACAAGCCAGCTTCCAAGCTTCGTACTTCAGTACTTCAGTACTTAAGTACAATCATGTACAATGTAGATGTACGTGTAAAGGGCATCATAAAGTGAGCTACACGGCTGGTGCATGGTGCAGCCACTGTGGACGTTGGCACAACTCCAACAACTCAGGTCATACAGCCACAGTACATGTACTTGCATGTGAGCAATCCCTGTGCACCGTGGAGTCACTGAACTGTCACTGGAAAGCTGAACTTCGTTTGGAGAGATCCTGGACCCACTCCTTGTGCAATATAGTATTACTACATTCGAATCCATGGTATAGTAAGCCTTGGCGATGGTTGTAGTCAGGAGCACTGCTTTTCAACACAGTGCGTCCTCCACCTTGTAATGTGCCGTCAACCGATCAACATGTAAATCCAAGTGTACGTCATGCTAGGTGAATCCCAAACTCGGTAGAAACTTGTGCAGTGCACCGTGACTCACATCTCCCTCCAGCAGTTCCAGCATACCACTCTCTGCTAGCTCCTTGGACTCTTCAAACTTCTCCTCGGCCATTATCAAATCAGCATCTGCAATGTTTGCACCTGCACATGCAAACACACACATGGGTGCGCGTGCACACACACACACACACACACACACACACACACACACACACACACACACCACCACCACCACCACCACCACCACCACACACATACACACACACACGCGCGCACACACGCACGTGCACACACGCACACACACACACACACACACACACACACATACACAAATACACACACACACGCAAATACACACACACACACACACAACCCGAAGACACAAAACTTAGCAAAAATACAGGTGGAAATTGCGCCTCGTCCAGATCAGTGCTCACTGTCACCCTGCACTCAGTTTCGTTTGTTGTTTCGGATTCGTGCCAGTGGCAGCAGAGGCAGTACTACTACATGACGTGGCAGCAGCAGTACCTGCAACAACACCTGGCACTGCTCGTCAGTTTGACAGCGGCAGACCAAGCCGTCACATAACACATCAGACGACCAGTCAGAAAAAGTAAGGCAAAAAATGTACGACTGTGACGGACCACACGGGCCTTGGAACTGCATGAAATTCCACGGTGCCAGTGTCGGCGAACGGTGGGACGTCGCTAAGAAACACCAGCTATGTTTCCGGTGTGTGGGAACTGTCCATTCCGCTCAGTCCTGCACACAGCCAGCACTGACCTGTAACATTGACGGCTGTGTATACAAGCACAACACACTGCTGCATCTCTGGGCCGGCAGCAGGCAGTAAACAACCAACAGTCAACGGTTCACAGGTCCAGCAGACTACCAGCAGCAAGCCGCTGTCAAAGCATGACGGAGGGGTGGGGGGGGGGACAAGGTGCAAGCTTTGTCAACCTCCGTGCAGCTGAGCAGGTGGCCATCGTTGCTATGATCGTTTGCGCGCGCATGCGAAGAGCTCGAAGAAGGAGAGTGCTGTATTCATCAACGAGCACCACGTTGCCTGTTGGAAGGCGTACAACGAACCGGAGTTTGCCTCAATGCAGGATTGGACATTCTTGTAAGTGAAGGCGACTGCTGATCAACAGGCTGAGTGGATGTAAAGCAAGGGCGTAGGTAGGGGGGGGGGGGGTGTTGGGTGCCAAAGTACCCCCCTCAAAAGTTTCGATCCTGGTTCGCAGCTGGTTCGAGAGAGACCATAATACGCGGACTGCTTATCACATGTGCAACTCTGCATAGGCGCATGCTGCAGCTATCCCTATCCAGACCAGTAGGTACACTGTACATTGCAGTAGGTATTGTACTTCTCCCTGGTTCAGACCTACTAGTGGCGTGCACCGAGTCTTGAAAGGGGGGGGGGGGGGTCCAGAGTTGGTAATTTTTTATCTGGAGACCCACTGTATAATTATGCATTTGTGCACATGCGCATCCTCCGAACATCCCGTTGGAGATAACGGCGAGGGCTAGGGAGGAAGGGGGGGCAAGATAAGGGGTGCAGGGCACCAATGAACACTGGTGCTGATGAGATGTGGGGCTCCTCCAACTGCTACATGCCCGCACAAACGCGTCTGAGAGGGAACCAGGTCCAGGGGTAGAAAGGACAGAAATAAGAGTAACGAGGGAGGGGACGATGTTACATGGAAATGTCGATACAACCGGTAGCAGGATAAAGCGGGTTACCTTTTACAAACCAGCAGTTATTTGCAAAGAGCTCGCCAAAGTCAATGTACACAATACATGAACGGCCTCTGCTGGGATGACGACTACACCATAGCTCAGTGGTTAGAGCATCGCTGGCTACAAGCGAGGGTCCCTGGTTCGAGTCCTGGTGGTGACAGTCAAATTTTTCTTCAGACCTTTCCCGTTTGTCTCTTTCCCTCAAACCAGTTAATACACAATACATGTTTGTCATATTGAACGCGTAACGGTTTGATAGGCCAAGCCGCCCAGGCTACACTACAGTCTATAACACTATGGCTATCAGACTATGGTACTTCACTAGTCCACTCCAGGCATGTCCGTTTCATCAAAACACAGCTTACATTCGAAGTATCTTTCTTTCTGTTCTTATGACGAAGTTTTCGGCATGTACTGGCAATGTTCCACATGATTTCAATCAAGAGTTTTCTTGGTTATGGACCTTGCTTCGATGGAAACTCGCGGAAGAAAAGCGAAGCCCCTGTAGATATCGTACATGCAGTTGTATGTAGTATTATGTACGCGTGTGCAGGCATGCACGTACTGCTACCGCGTTATGTATAACACGAGAGAGATGACATGGCGCACTTCTGATAGAGAACTAAAGAAGATCTGTTTAGCACAATGGCTATCTTGTGAGTGACTGAATAGATGTCTACATTGGCGCAGTGAACAGGATATCGACAAGCTGATGGAGTTGTTCGCACGGTTTGGTCTGCCTTCAACACTCGTTTCGGATTGGGGTCCACAGTTTGCATCCACTGAGACGTCCAAGTTTCTCGCTCAGTTGGGTGTTGAGCATTGCAAGTCTAGCCCCCGGTGTGCCCGCTCTAACGGTATGGTGGAGCGACTACATCGTCTGGTGAAAGAACGAGTTGCCAGTCTGAGACCTCATCTACCGCTACACCGCCGCATCACTCAAGTCTTGTTCGACATTCGAAATTCGCAGCACCGGATGCTAGGTACATCGCCGAGCGAAGCGTTGTTCAGCAGAGTCATTCGGACACGAGTTCCAGCATCCATCACCCCACAGATCGTCAACCCATCTGAGCAGATCAAGGCGAAAGCAGCAATGGTTGAAGGTCATGACTCGCGCCGAGGTGTCCGCAAGTTACACCATTTGCCATCAGGTACGCGGGTAGTGATCCATGATGGGTAGCAGTATGGTCGACAGGTTGGGGTCACTGATGGGTCACGCATACTGCCCCGGAACCGTCAGTACGTCACCGAGTGTGTAGCACCAGCAGCAGCAGCAGCAGCAGCGCCGGAAGCACCCATGAGTGAACCTCCGGCACAGTCAGAGAGGGAGCATATGCCAGTGCCAGTGTGTGCTCCACCACTGCCAGTGTCCGACCCAACAAACCTTCCGTCAGCGAGCAGCGCAACATCCAGGCCCGAAGCTCCGGTATCTGCGCTCACATTGCTGTTGTCTCCTGCAGCTTCACTGGAGACGACAGCACCACCTGCAACACCGGCCTGTATGTCACTGTCACCGCCAACATCTCGTCCAAGTGTATTCCGCGAGGGCATACAGACCAGAGCTGGCCGTCAGATCAAGCTTACAGAGAAAGCACGTGAAACTGACATCTGAGTCCCCGAGCCATGCATTACCAAATGAGTGGCTTCAATCGCTACCAGATTGGCGGCGTTTAGAATAGAATTTTTTTTTTTTTTTTTTTTTTAATCGCCAATCCAGGAGGGGACCAGAGCTAGAGATCGATCTCTCTGTAGCTACTCTCCACCGAAGAAAGAGAGAATAAGTTGATGTATTTTGAACTGCATGCAAAGCAACTCTCTCTCACTTCGAAATAAGGACATAGTCACTGTACTGTAAACTGTCCGTCGATCGACACGTAATCACGATAACCAATCCAGTAGGCACACTTTCCTTTGGCAAGATTGCCCGAAAAGGTGGTTTACAGGCAACAAAAACTCATACTGTACACACGCCTGCCTACTCTGAGTACATGTTCCTTGTTGACTAGTTTGTCTGATGATTGGCCATTTTGCAATCAAACCTCTAGTCAAGAGCAGCTCCGCTTCGTACCTGCTGTTGTGCAGCATCACGTCAGACCTCAGTAGACTCAGCACATGATTTGCATCGCACTCCGAATGTTTTGTTAGAAGCAAAGAATCATACAAACACGGGTAAAAGCAAGAGTACATAACCCTCTGGGGGCTATGTACTCTTGGTAAAAATAGCAACAAGGTCCATGGAAAACACACAACAAACATAGCAGTTTGTTCGCGCTATGTTTTGTATAATGTAGTTCTGGCTGTTGAGTGGTCGCGTTGGAAGTCACACAGTGTGGAAAGGCAAAGAAGTTTCTTTCTTTCATGTGTTGCAAGTGTGGATACACCAGCAAAAGAGTGAATGGAGCGTTGAAGTGCAGTCTGCGGTTTTTGTTGGACATATAGTGTACGTATGATCAAAGATGCCTTACTACAGGAGCAGCAAAATACCACATTGCTACTCCCTGGTTGGAGTTTGTCATTCGCTGATTGATCTTCAGCGTCAAATATGGGGATAACTTTGCCCCCACCCCGCAGTATTGCGGATCAAATAATACGCATGAAAGTACCAACATAACTACTGTGTGTCATACGCAGGGAGTAGTAAAATGGTATTTCACGACTCCCCGGTTGGTCATAAGTGCATATACTTTTGTGGGGGGAAAGTTTGACTGCAAATAGCATGCCTTGGTCCTGGTTTTGTATCAAATGCATTACTATAACCGCCCAATATTCGCGTCAATAAATTTTCGCGATCTCTCAGACCCAGCAAGTTTGCGGTGGCAAATGTCCGTGAAACACTATGGGGTTGATATTCGCGTTATGCTCTTCTCACGAAATAAGCAAACTTAAGGCAGCTAACAGTATACTATACACTGTGCACAGTTGCTTTAAAGGCAGACGCTGTCAGATGCTGTCAGACGCTGTATCCAAGGATTGTAGCAGTTCACTGTGTGACGGGGATACTGTAGAACGGGTAATTCTAGCGACTATTAATTTTAGCGTTTCCCATTGTCAACCGGTTAGCGACACTTTATTTTAGCGATTTGCATTTTTCTTCATTGTACACATTTTGATACTGCATTCTACTACTGTAGAGTAGAACCCGGGTTAAGGGTCACACCGGATTAGGGATCGGAGCCCGGGGAGGGGGGGGGGGCACTTGGCACGTACATTGTGCGGGTGATCCTTCGGAGCCCGGGGGGGGGGGGGGGCACTTGGCATGTACTAGTATATTGTGCGGGTGATCCTTATACCGGGATTTAATTTCCGGCCCAAGGGGGGTCCCCGTCGGTTTCCGAGGAAGCCGTAATTTTTTTCGCTCCAAACTATTTTTCTGGGGTCCATCTACTCACAAAAAGTCGTTTTGCACACCTTTTTGCCATCCCTGTACAACTGAGTCCAGCTATGTCCACGCAGAGTTAGGTGGATCCCTAACCCGGGTTCTACTCTACGTACAAACCATCACTACCGTGTAGTACTGTGAGTGCTAGTAGATCTACGAGAGAACATCATAAAACATGTGCTAATGTGGTGCTACCGGTAGTAGTAGTACTACTACATCTACTATGATGGAGTACTGCATTGTACTCACGGATCACCAGCGCACTACTAATGTCTCAACGAATTAGCGACTTGAAACTTTAGCGAAAATGAGTCGATCGCTAAATTCGCTAGGGTTTTTACGTCGCTAAAATTACCCGTTCTACAGTATTCAATTTTTACTAGTTGTCTTATCAACTGGAGGCTTTATGGAACGAGATCGAAATTCCCTGTCAAGGGCCATCTACATGAGAAAAATAACTTTCTAAATGATTTGCCTCGGGCTTATTTTTCAACCGTTTACATGGTGGTTGTACGGGAGCTGTGTTCAGGTGGGTGGCTGCGAGTTCTGCATTGATGTGTTCTGTGAGTGAATCCGGTATCGACAGGGCAAATGTACAAGATATAACAACGCCCAGGGCTTATTTTATTGTTTGTCTATATGAGAAGTTAGGCCCTGGGCGTTGAATGGGCTCGATTGGTGAGATGAACCTTGCAAATAACGACAACCCCGAATAACGACAACTCGCAAATAACAACTTGGGAATAATGACGCATTTCTCAAGCACAAGCGCGAGTCGTTATTGCAAGGTTGAGTGTAGGTCGTAAGAAGAAGACTTTAAGTCTTTCACCAGTGCATATAGTGCGTATTACCATCACAAGGGATTTCAATTTTCAAATTTCATATCCTACCTTTGTCCTTCTTCCGCCGCTTTCCATCAAAGTCCAGCCGTCGACTTTCCATCTTTTTCCTATGATGCTGGATTGAGCAGAACACACCATGGGGGTTGAGAAAACATAGAGACTTTGGAACAAAGACGGTGCGGAGATGAAAGCAAGTAGAGAAAGAGGGGGAGACGGAGGGAGTGCGGAAGAGGGGAGTTCACAGGGTTACACAAACACACACACAGTGCAATGTCACGAGCAGAGAGGTCAGGTGCAACACTACAGCTACCACGCGCGGTACCAGGCAGGAAAGGTGGAACCAGGTTTTCATTGGTCCGGCCATACCACAGTCTTTCATACGTTGTGTATAATATGGCGAGTATACCTGACCTCCTCAGAAGTCAACAGTCACGCCGGCCAAACAGTGGGTACGGCCATGACCAGATCAGCTGGACCGGTTCCACTGCCCCTGACAGGTATGCTGAAATTTCAACTGATGCTAATTTTCTGCTGTCGTAGAACAAATTCTAGCAAAACCGGTACCCCAAACTTTCGGTGCCTCGAACGTATACTGGTGGATACTGTGAAAGCTATACAGTACATCCTGCATTGTGTCACCCATGCAGTGCTTCCTTGCCACGTCTGACGATGAAAAGGTCACTGGACAAGGAGTTTAAACTTAACACACAGTACCTACACGGTCAGCCTTGTCTAGTGCCGTTACTAGACAAAACAAGATGTCGTCCACACGTCAGTGTCTGCTCCAGAGCCGGGTCAGCCGGGCCACCGGCCCGGTGGGGGTAGGGGTACTTGGACACGTTTGGAAAAAGAATACTGAACCGGCTGGGAATACAATATACATCAGAGAGCCCTGAAATATTTACAACTCCCTGATCATAGGCTGATGCATCTGCAGTAGCCACACTTGAATGGATCCGGCTCTGACCCTGTTGCAAGAGGTGTTGCAGGTACACGTGTACCCGGTTGGTTTGAAATCCTAGAGCAGATACCGCACGTATGCGCATTAAAATCGCCCAACGCAAAGTTTGCCAGCATTCCACAGCCATCAAGGTGTGGATTAGCGTCCAGCATTTTGGTAAGCCAGATTGTTTACGGCCCAAACTGCACACGATGACAATTGCGTGATGGCCAAGCATAAGGCAAGACTCCTAGGAGCCTTCACCAGCCAACTCTGGCTACAAAAGTCAGACCTCGCTAATCAGGCAACCCCCGGCCCATATCCAGCATCGCCTCTCCATACCATATCCAGCACCTCCCCCGCCCCGTATCCAGCACCGCCTCCCTACACCATGTCCAGCACCTCCCCTCACCCCCCCCCCCTCCCATATCCAGCACACGGCTGTTCAAGTGGGCGAAAAAACGGCCACTCAAAAGCCAGCTGATTTCCCGTTGAGAATAGAAGTTTCGGTGAAGATGATGACGCTCGTGAGAGTCAGCTGTGTAGTAAATGTCAGATCACCTAGCAAATTCCAAGAGAAAACCTTGCCGAATCAAACCGGAAATCGGTAAAATCGATCAGCTATGCCAGGAAAGGTCATGTCCTTGCCGTGATCAAGAAGAGCTCAAGCTGTCCTTTGCTTTTTCCGCGTGTCTCTCGTCTTTTTGATCAGTTTATGCATCAGCTGATCAGGATGGGGGAGCACGTGAAGAACCTTGCCCAGCTGTGCCGTTTGGGTGCAGGCAAGCTCCATCGCAGATATTCTGGTAGAGTAGCGACAGAATACCCGTTGTGAAGAGGAAATTTTGGGCATGCAGGCCTCATCCAGCACGTCCAATGAGCATGTTGCACTGGATGTTGCAATTGACATGGAAGAAGAGGAATTCTACCAGATGACAGCTCCGTCCTTTAAGATCCAGGAACGGCTAGAGCCGAGTAGGTTCATTTTCCCCGTGCCAAGCCTAGCGTGTGCTGTGTGTGCAGATATTGTTGATAGGCCTGTGCAGCCACCGTGTTGTCCATTGTTGTTGTGTGCGTCTTGTGTGTACGCTCACCACCAGGAGCATGACACGTACACACTGCAGCCAACAACTTGGCCTTTCACAATACAAAGCACCACACCCACTGATAATCCCGGTACTGAGAGAGCAACTATTGCATTGTGTCCGGTACAGCAGGAAGGTGCCTGTGCTTGTTCTGTCAAGCCACCAAGGGTGACCTACAGCACAGCCACACTGCAAGCACTCAACCACCACGCACACCGTGTGATGGTTGATAACCTACAAGGGTTTCAGGCGGACGGGAGCAGATTGTCACGAGCAAAGGACGTTGTACACTCAAACGCCTCTTATCCGGACGCCTCAGATACGGGCACGTCTCTCTACCGGGCACCTTCAGCTTGAGTTCCGATAGCACAAATGCTTCGAATTTGGGGGTTTTTAACTTTTTTTCCGTATGTGGAAGTGCTTATTTTTCACTGCCAACCTATGTAATCCGGCCACACCAATGGGTTCCTTTTGTATCCTGAACATGTGCAATATGTTCCAAATAATCTTCTTCAAAAAATGATATGGTACATGGTAGGTGAGTTATCCTGAGATACGGGCAAATCTGAGATACGGGCAGTGCCCGGTCCCAAGGTGCCCGGATAAGAGACGTCCGAGTGTATTTCTCGCGAAATCTTTTCAGCTGCGAATATGGCATCTGGTGTGTTCTTTATTGTCGCTTCTTTTCCTGACTTCTTCAGTCACTTTTGAGTCTCACCAGTGTCCCTGCCCTCCCACCCTTCATTTCTGTGCATATTACCATTGGTTTTTATCACTGTTTGCCGTGATGTGCTTGCCATGCCTACATGATGCCTAATCGCCATTGGGGATATACATGTACACCCGGTTTGTTCCCTCACAAATGCGTCCGTCGGCGCGAGGGGTTTTTCCCGGCTGGCTCGGTCCAGGAAAATTAATCTGATGGTCCCAAGTGGTTCTGCATCATGGCCTATTTCTGCTATCCACTGGCACGCCTATTCTATCTGAGACACTCTGTTCTCGGTCCTTGCTTCCATACCTCACTCGTTATCCGGTTCACATCTGGCTGCGGCCAACTACCCTTCACTTTGTGTGTTGTCGCTATTGCTGTCTATATCTCTGTGTATGCCAGTATATGTGGAGCGAGAATACAAAACGACATAAGACCAGCATTGTTTGAAAATGAAATTTAAAACATTCGCATTCCTGTGCTGCATCTGGACCTTGGAATATGTCCATGGTTGTATGAGGCCATGCTGAAGGATGCAGAGAAGCTGAATCTGGCGCTTGCCACGTTAAGCACTGCTGTTCAGCAACCATCAGAGTCCTTCGTACGTGTTTCCCAAGAAAATCGTCGTCTGCGGGAAGCCCGGATTGAGCTCGTAGAGCAACAGCAGGACATCAGCAATGTACAACGGCATTTGGCCCAACTTCTGCGAAAACCAGGCTTCGGGTGAAAATAATTTTTTTGAGACAAATGATGTGTTGTAAAAAGGTTGTGTCGCGTGGACGCTCGAGTGCAGTGAAGTGGAACCAAAGGCAAAGAGAATCTCGCTTGTTTGAAGAAGTAGCAGTCATGGCAGGAAGGGTTTCAGCAGTCAGGGAAGTCAAAGGGCTTCCGGTAGAATATTCCCTGCTATTCCTCTAGTCACAACGAAGAGTTTTTGAGCTGATCGAACGGATTCCATCTCCTTCACTCAGGAATGGCGAAATTTCTGCGCTAGCTGCTGCTTGCGTAAAATGGTGAAGAAATCGTCTCCAGTTAGAGTCGTGATGGCGATAGCAAAGAGAACCTGGACGACATCGATCCAGCCAATCAAAGTATGGAGATACTAGCTGTTTCTGGGCCTCACGCAAAGGGAACACGCGCAGCAGAGCTCATACATTTGCAGCAAGTTCACGAGGAAAAGGCTTGAAGCGCAGTGTGAAAACTGTTTTGAATTGAAGTCCTTGGCGATGAAGTGCTACTGAATGCCAGGCGAATGAGCGAGCAGATCGAGAGACCTCCACTCGAGACTTTCCTCGCTGGACAGCTAGCTGCCAGGGATTGTACGGCGTGCCGAGATAATCGCGAGATTTCACTTGCTGGTCAGCACCAAGCAGACACTGCAGCACGCCAGCACCCTATGCGCATACTATGAACAGTGGAACAGTTTGAAAGGCCATGTTCTTTCTGGTTTTTGAACAGTTGTACTAGATTCACCCTTCAAAAGGTGCCATCTCGACTGGAGACGGGTTTCCTTGTGGTGTGTAGCGCCAGAGCATGCCAGTACATGTATTCAGCCCCAGAATGTGCTGAGTGAGGAGCAAACAAAACATGCAGAACTGTGCATGGCCGCTACAGCCTGCAGCACCAAGGGGCCACAACAGGCCTGCCCCCGCATGCCTACCCTGTCATGTCACCTAAACAAAAATCATCCATGTCTCTTCCTTCACTCTGGTGGATCTCTCTTCATTTCTTTCCTGTGATAACAATTTTGTGCTTTTTTGGATTTTTTTAACACAATACCCTGGTGTGTTTGAGATACTTTTAATACCACTATGAGTCGACACACAGCTGTAATATTTTGTTTCCTGACCTCCCATGCCCAGTAGAAGCTGAAAATGGGAAAAAGTCATTTTTGTGAAATTTCACCCTAAGCCTGGTTTTCGCAGATTCTGGGCCATTTGTACTTTGTCATGCTACACTGCCGGGATGAGGACCAGGGTGCAATGAGTACAGTCTCAACGGGCACAGCTAAAAGAGTCAGCAAAGAAAATCCAGGAAGAGATTGCTACTCTGCAACGGTCGTTATCAACTGCTTCCGTGGAGAGTGGTCCACGTGTGTCCTACTTCGAGACAGTACTCGTCAAGCATTGCATCGAGCGGCAGGCATACCACTCTGGTGCCTTCATCGGCAACCACGTCCACAGGGCACTGCAGCAGACCATTATTGACGAGCTCACCTCTGCTACAGTAGCAACGGGCCAGTCATATCTGTCAGACTCTCCGGCCAGCCGGACGAGACCAACATACTCCAGGGGGCTCAGGAGGTGCAGTCAAGCTACAGCAACCTGTTTGCAGCATATGCTAGTTGTCGAGCAGTGTTTTCCACGTGCCATGCAGCAGTTGATGCTGATTTCCTGGAATCCTTGCAGAAGCAGATTCCCGAGTTCATGGCAATGGTGAGGCATGACATTGCAGAACGTGTCGGGAAGTCCATCACACCTAAGTTACACATGCTTGAGTGTCACACAATTCCCTGCATGCGGTGACTCTGCGTCTCCCTTGGCCTCCTCGGTGAGCAAAGTGGAGAAAGTATCCACAGGAAATTCAAGCAGCTCTGCTCGTCCCTTGAGAACATGAACCATGATGTCGATCGGCTCCTCGTTCTGGCCACACAATATCTGACGACGACATTGCCCCACTACAACCGTATGACACTCCAGCCGAAGAGAAGAACTGACTTGAGAAGTAGAAAGGTATGTTTCAATGAGCGTAAATGTGCCTAAACTTTCAATAACTGAATCATTGGAGTATCCCCCCCCCCCCCCTACACACACACACACACACACACACACACACACATGCACAAACGCTAGCACGCACACACATGCTAGCACGCACGCACGCACACACATGCACACACACACACACACACACACACACACACACACACACACACACACACATACACATACACGGTCACACGTGTGCGCAGTGCACAATGCCTTACGCTGATCTCCTTTGCATCTTTCTGCAGGAACTGCATGATGGGATCAACAAAGTTTTGATTAACTGTGACATCCTAGAGAGACCACAAGAAGATGACAAGAAGTGGAAAAACCATCAAGTGACAAACATACAAACACCATGACTGTAATCATTCTACAACGCTGGTGGATATGTGCGTCTGGGTTGCCATGAAGTCTCCCTACCAAATCTCCCTTTGGTGCATCAATCGAGGTATGAAGCTGAGACATCTGGTCGGCTCAGCCTAATGGACCCCACCACCACACTCCATTTTTCACTTCAGTATCTTGAGATACGTGGATTTTGTAGAAAAGTCAAGACCCTAGGGTTGGAGGAATTGCCTAACTTCATTTTTTTTTAATTAAAAAATCACCGCCACTAACCTGATTCATGTAGTGTGTGCTTTCCCTGCTGCATCTCATGTTTGGCATTAGCGTGGCATTTGTAAAAATTAAAATTAAAAAGTTAAAAATGGCAACCTACTGGCAACACCGCTTCTACTGTTTCACTTTCACTTGTGCAGTACAAAAGACTACGCAGATACAGTGGACTGTACGTCGCTACAAGGCACATGAAGCAATGCACGATTGCACACCCTCTTGCAAGATCTTTCTCACACACTGAGGCAAGAGGCAAAATACTTTTTTTTTGAAGTAGCAGTATGCCTAGCACAGTGCTGCTCAATGAAATCCGAGCGAGTCAAGTACACGCCGGGCGCTGAGCAGTCCTAGACCTCCGAACCCTGGGCTGTGAAATGGTGCAGGGCGCAAACCCGTCTCCCGCGATCGGACTTCCTTCAGCAGCACAGTGGTAGCAATAGTACAATCATAAGCACAGAGGTGAGCAGCTGACTGAACTGTCCAGTATCATTTCGCTGTGTGAACTGAAAACGAACAAAATCGAAAAAAAGTAGCACACAGTACAATGCGACAAGCAGGCAGTTGCACCCAGCGAAGGGTTGCGCACAGGGTTCTGTAGCCGTCATGCACACGGGCTGCAGACTGTGTGCCCGTGGGTGTGTCATGTGATGTGAAGTTCTGCCGTCACAGACCCCATAGACCGGGAGTTACACCCTTATGGGGGTTTTGTACTCTTGGTAGTAGATGCCCATTGCGTACAGGATTCACATACTATTGCACAGTGATACATGAAACAAAGGCAAATAAACGGGAGCTTCAAAAACTAGCAGCTGGCATTGCACCCGAGGTCAATTCCACACTTATCGGTCGCTCCAGACATTGCGGACATCAGGCTACCCAGCACTTTCTCTCTTCAACACACTGGCACACTGGCACACTGGCACACTGGCACACTGGCACACTGGCACACTGGCACACAAAACATTCTCATCAGGCTTGCAAGTGTTGAGTTTCTGAGAGCAAAGATCAACAGGCGTGTGGTTTTGTGTCCTCTTTTAGAAACTCTGTGCATGCCTAACTTGACTCTACTGACTGCAACGTACCAATCGAGTCAGAGGTAAAGGTAACACATGCCGTATTTTCCGGAGCATAAGCCGCACCCCCCCCCCCCCCCCCGCTATTTTTTGCGACGAAATACAGACATCTATTATAAACCTGGGTATACCCACTTATGTGACATCTATTATAATATTATTCTATTTATCACCGTTAATTTGATCATTGGAGCATGCCGCACCCCCCCCCCCCCCTTTTGGGTGAACTTTGAGTGTTCAAAGTGCGCCTTTTACTCCGGAAAATACGGTAGTCAATTCTGACCATAGCAGCAGAGAGTGTTAAAGGCGTCTTGTTTCAATTCAATGAGGTCGACATGGTGTGGGAAGTCCGACGCCCCTGACTAGCAATACCGGATAGTGCGGGCAGAAAAAACGGCAGAATTGGCATTATGTCTGGTAGGTTTCAGGTATTTTTGGTGTCCACAAAAAGAAAGGGAGCAGAACTCGAGGATTGTCTTGACATAAACGTTGTATGGTTCTACTAATTTCATTGCTTTTCGAGCAGAATCAGCCAGTTTTGAGCATTACCATGCTATGTAGTAATGTTTTTGCCAAGGTCTACGACTCAGCCAGTCATAGGAAGATAAGTAGACTGTTCAATTAACCCTTTACCGGTCTACCATAAGCGAATCGATACTATAGTATCGGTACGTTTGGCCCTCATTTTTTGGGGGTCTTGTTGCTAGGAGACAGCTAAAATGGCGCTCTACGCGTAGCTGAGGTCCAAGCCTTTCTGACGATGTACAAAACAACCATGCTTACCATACAAATTTTTGCCGTATCGATTGACTGAAGTTTGTTGAAATTGGAAAAGACGACCATCCACCATGCGCGCATTTCGAGAATGCGAGTGCATCTCTTGGGGCCGTGTTTGACAAGCGTTCTGAGAGCAGTAACATAACCAATCCAGGCTGGATCTCCCGGGAGGTTTTGCAGTGTAGTGTGTTGAGAAAAAGAGCTCCGTTGAGTCCTGCTTGTTCAAAAATATATCGTCCACGAATGAAGAAACAAAATTCTCCAAACAGAGAGGAAGCCTTCTTGCTGCCGACACGGCGACAGCGACTGTCACAAGGACTCGTCAGGTGCGATCAGCTGATTCGCCTGGCCGTGAGAATCACGGCATGCGTGAGCTCACGCCTGAGTACTCATCTGAGCGAGATTGAATCTGACGCGAGCAGCGCTGAGATGAACAAACCGAAACTGCGATATCGTGGAATGAGAATTGCTGCTGCTGGCGTATCGCCGATGGCGAGGTTTTGGTGTTCAATGGTGGTATTGTAGAGAGCCTACATTTCTTGTAAAGACGTAGCCCTTACCTGATTGTTTATCGTACGACTTCAGCTCCATCACGAACTTGGTATGCCCTTCGTGCTGTGATATTCGTGTATTTCGTTCGCAATTGTATTTTCTCTCAACTTGAAGGGCTACCATGGGCCCTATCCTTGCCTGGACCTAGTCATATTTGAATTTTCTGGACGCGTCCAGGCATACAGATTTTGAAAATATATGGTTCACCCATACCTACATCATATGGTTCTTGAGTTATTGCTGGTTGTGTGTACATGTATTTGCGTGATCACCCCTCACATACATTGAGTTGGATCGGCAAAGGGTTAAGGCCTGCCACCATAATAACAAAAGAAAAAGAAATAACCCCGCCACAATTGTCTTCCTCTTCTCCAACAAGCCCAACCGCAACAGGCGCAGGCTGTACCTCCTCACGCTCCGGCTGCTCCAGCACAGCGTGCTTCTGTTCCCCGTCAGCGGGCAACACCCAAGAAGTTCAGCGGTGGAGTCCAGGACCGATGGGAGTCCTGGTGGCTCCAGTTCGAGCAGGTTGCACTAGTCAACGCCTGGACACCGCAGGAAACGGTGCAGTTCCTGCCGCTGGCCCTCAAAGGCGAGGCACTACTATACTACCATTCGCTGCCGCAGGCCACCCGACAAGGCCAACTTGCGCCACTGGCCCAGGCGCTGCAAGCCCGATTCGCGCCACCGCAGCAGCGAGGTGACCTTCACCAGGGGGAGTTTCATTCCCATCACCAACAACAGAAGGAAAGTCATGGCGAGTACTACGAGGTGGTGAGGGAAGCAGCACAACTCGCCTACCCCAATATGCAGGCCGTTGACCGCGACATGCTAGCCAAGGACCAGTTTCTGGCGGGCCTCGATTCAAGGACAATGCGGATCCACATAAGGAGCTTAATGCAGCCACACTTGATGATGCTCTGCAGGCCACGCTGCATCATGACGCAATTCACCAATCGGAGGCGTCCTCGCCGGCTACACCGGCCCTTGTCCCTGCCTGCGCCACAACGAGTACACCGAATGGCCCAACACCACAGCTGCAGGCCAAACTTCTGGACCGCATGGATCGCTTGGAGGCCTGAGTGGACAGGCCAGCACGTGCTCCACCAGCTTCTACAACATCCTCCGCTCGTGGCAGCACCTGCTGGCACTGCGGCAAGCTAGGCCATACGCCGCACACCCATGCGCCAGTATCAGGGAAACTGCCGCCCGCTGCCCCAGTGAGTCCAGGCTTTGCAGCGGCTCCTGACCCATGGACTCGTGTCAGTGAGTATGGCAGTAGTATCAATAAGCCTGCCATGCCTGCACTAATCCTCTGCCGTGCAATTGCGTGCATCGCCCGTCTTCTTTGGGTGGCTGATATCTATTTCCTCCCTCTGTTAGTCCGTACTGTGCTCTTCCTAGCCGCTTTGTTGTTGTTGTTGTTATTGCCAGTGTATAACGGTGCCCTCGAGCATACAATCTCTCTTTTCGCCCCTGGCCATTGCTTCTGCTCACTATCAAAAAACGAGAAGAAGCAGATGTAAAATATTTAAAAAAATTTAAAGAAGAACCACATGAGAACGAGTTATGCAGCAAATATCCACGACTGTAACAAGATGATAAACGGTCAGAAAGTTTTTCATTATGTTACAGTCGTGGATAGTTGCTGCATAACTCGTTCTCATGTGTTCCTTCTTCTTTTTTTAAAACATTTATTACTGGTTCAGTATCCGAGTTTAAGAAGTATATGTCTGATGAAAACGTAAACTTACCATGTTCTCCTTCAAGTCTGTTATTTCTCTTAGTGACGATGCAAATTCCCCTAAAGCCAGGCCTGCACGTCGGGAAAGAGTGTGTTTCATAGCAGCAGCACATACGCATGCACACACACACACCACACACACACACACACACACACACACACACATACACACACACATATATATACAATACACACACAGTCACACACACAAGCACACAAACAAACACACACACACGCACAAACAAACACATACACACACACACACACGTGCACGCACCAGCAAGGCCGGGACCTTCTGTACCTACATGCCCTTGTTACTCACCAGTAAAACATTACACACATAGCCATACCATCACTCTTCTAACCAACGACTAGCAGGGATTATCCATTTTCCCCGTGGATGGAAGAAGGTACTCCCAAACCTCAACCTAAACTATATCACAGTCTGCTTGCAGTAAACGGTCTTCATTTATGCCATACACACTGAAATACAGCAAAACGGAGAAAACCAATGGAGCTTGCAGGGCCGTCGGACACGGTACGGTCACGACGGTATTGACCGTACCACTTTTTGCCCCAGGCACCCCGTGAATCAATAAAATACACTGATCTGGGATCTAAATTCCCAAAATTTTTGGCTCAGCTACCACTCCCCGACGAGTAAATTGTACTTCAGATGGCTGACCGTACCGCACTACAATACCTTCCGACGCCCCTGACTTGTATCGTACCAAAATTAATATAGTCAGACCTGAGGTCTGACTGTTTTAATCACCTCGCATAACCGCACACATTCACTTTCCACAAAATATTCGGATAGGCAAAGGAACTGGATAACCGAACACCGGTTATGCTGGATGCATCACGTATGCTGTAAATCTGTAACCAGCTATTTACTTCCGGACGGCGGGGGATCCGGATAAAAGAGGACCGGAAAAGCGAGGTCTGACAGTACAGGGTTATTCACGGACACTAACCAAAGTTTGAGTCCTCGGAAAGTTCTGCCGATCCCTTCAGGGCTATGTCGGAGAGGGTTGCCTCAGCATGTGGGTACGATGCAGTGCTACCGCTGATGCCTTTAGCCCTGTCCATGCGTACCCGGTATGCAGCTTTGACACGTGCCGCTGGAATTGGAATGTGCACAAACGCGGACACACACAAACACACATGCATGCAGGAAACACACACACATGCAAACGTTAACGCAAATAAGCTGAGAGAAAATAAATACGACCTTAAGGACAGTTCGGGCATACATGTACTAGAAAAGTGCTGCCCTCATTCCGCGACTTATAATCAGGGAGATACGGTACATTCTTTTCAAATTTCAAATTTTGCGGCACTGCACTGTGTACGATAAAATAAAATCTCCAGATACGGGAGCTCGGCAGAGCCAGAGCCCTCTCAGAGCGCTTCGACTCGAAAAAGCTCTTTGGGTTACTTTGCATGTCGAGTTCTGCTGAACAACTGAGTTTGAAGAAAGGGTGATCCTTGACGACAGGCCAGAGTGCTCGATGAGAGTGCTGACATATCACAAAGCTTCCCCTCCCCCCCCCCCCCCCCCAACACACACACAAGAGGTCCAGTGGAACTCGTCTCCACTCCGAGTTTCTTGCTAGGAGTAGGGACGATTTCCACTGGGCCATGTGTGTGTGTGTGCGTATGTGCGCCTGTGTATGTGCATGTGTGTGTGTGTGTGTGTGTGCGCGCGTGTGGAATTTCAACATAGAAATAATACCGTGACAAAATCGCCCAAGGGAGGCCTTATCTGGCCTCCTACCTGGATTGGGCTGCAGTAGACTGACCACCTTCTCCGACAACGACTTGACCACTTCAATCGTGCCATCTGTCTTCTGCAATGTTAGGCGGCACAAAAACAGCAGCAATGCACAGAGCACACCATGTAATAAAATAAAAGCAGAGCGAACTCGGTCGGCTCCACCATGGAGCATAGCAGTTTAAAAACGAACATTATCATGTGTGAAGTTGGCTGTTCCTACGTGGAATACACGCTTCTTGGCAACCTTGACATTTGACTGACGCATGACTACCATCCGGAGCCCACCGCACCTTCCACTCAGAAAACCAGCAAGAAGGCGCCACCATTCCCTGCTCAATACACAGTGTTCCGGGTAATCCCCCCCCCCCCGCCCTTCCAGGACCGCCGGAAGGAGTTTTTGATTCGTCTGGCCATACCCTAACCTTTCATACTTTGTGTATGGTATGGTGGCTATACATGAATGACCTAACCAGCAGCACACACACACGCATTGGTGGCCAAAAGGGTTGGTCCCGCCATGGCCTGACAGCCGGACGGGTCCCGCCGGGCTTGCCTTCCCGGCCTCATCAGGTTTATTGAGCGGTTTCACTGGACAGGGGACTCCATGTACACTCGTAATGAACTCGCACGTGTCGCACTGCTTGAACCTATACAAAACTGACATTTGTGGCAAGCCATGTTTGTTCGAAACGAATCATATCTTAAAGGGGAGCACGTATACCAAGATAGTGCACTCGTGCAGTCACGAGCCGCAGCCAGAAAGGACAACTCTCCTGGCTGCGCATTGCTGTTCATTACATCAGCAGTCGACGCTACTTGGAGGTAGAGGCGTGCAAGTACTCATTACGGGAAATGTTACATTTGGGGTAAAATCGAATCAATTCAACAAACCAAAAGGTTGTCAACTACATGTAATTTGTTACTTTTTGTATAATTTGTCCACTTTAAATCACTCCGGGTCACTTGAGCAACGGCACATACTCATGCGCATTGACGCCATCTTCGGTTCATTATTTGGCCAGGACATGCTAATACACTGTACTACATCGATCAGCAGCTTGTAAATAGATACAGTTGCATTTACTGTCGTGGACATGGAAATCCAGTCAAATCACCGGGGCCGGTGCCCTCAGCGCGTACAGAGCGTTGTGTTGATCCGATGCGACCAGCGCGCTGCAGCGCATGAATGAATGTGTGTAGACTCTAAAACAGAGAGGTTCCAGGCTGTCCAAGAGAGTGCTCAATACCGAGAGGCAGAGCTAGTTCACACAATAAGAGCACAGAGAAAGTGTTTTTACTCTGAGTTTCACGCACTCACTTTCTCTGTCCTCTTATTGTGTGTGTAGACTCTACGGTATGCGTACTCACGGCTGCATGGTAGCCCTTTCCCAAAGATGCTCGCCGCTTTTTCGCAACTTTTGGTTGTTTTGGAAGAAATCGCAACTTTAGCAACTTTCTTCATTTTCACAAACTATTCGCAACTTTTCCGCAACCGTACGACTACGATGTATCTGTAATACTACGGAGATTACTGAACTGTTCGGGGAGGGAGAGCAGTGTTGTCTATTTCCACTGCTTTTTGCTTGTTCATAGCATCATTGCACTCACAAGAACTCGTTCATTTCGAGTTGCGAAATCAGCAACTTTTGGGCTTTTTCTAAAAACATGGATGCGATTTGAGAAACTTTCACTCGTTTGGGCATGGTTGCGAAAAGCATAAGCTGCGAAATATGTTGGCATCTTTGGCAAAGGGCTACTGCATGGCCAGGGCCCCGGCACCACTAGACGTGCGACCGGATTTCCATGTCCACGACAGCACATGGTGCCTTTCTTGGGCTAAGTAATATTAGTTGGGGGCTCAACAAATGATTGAACATTTAAAATGTAGCCATGATGGGGCTAAAGCAACCACGGACAATTTGTGTTCCTGTTAGAGCAACCACGTATTACCGTTGTGTTCGTGTTCGACTTGGAACAACCACTATAAACAGTTTGCAAGCTCACACAAGACCATGTCACAGATACGTGACAGGAAATCTGTGACAGGAACGACCACAAAATACACGATGTATGCACATTCAGACAGGTGCGCGGACACGTCAGTCGCCAGTCATGGTAATAATAATTTATAATCCTGATCTAAAGCTCACACCATCATACAGCGAGCTAGCTCAGTGTGGCCGTGATCAAGGTGATGTGGGTTTTGGTGGAAGCGCCAATCAGTCCACATTACCACAGTGCCTCGTATGACATACCCGTCAATCAAATTATCTTCGTTCTCTGAAGGAAACAATTATTTATTGGGAAATGGTCCCGGTACAGCATCAAGCAAACGATATCGTCGATGATTGGCTTACTCTTTCAAGTTCACGAAATGAATCGTCCACTTCAGTATGCGACGCTTTCAACACTTTCTCGTTGACCAGCTGTTGTTCGCCAGGAGAGGAAACACAACATCAGAAGCAAACACACGCTAAGTTGATTTGCTGTCAAGAATCTGCTCGTTACATCCTAGCGAAGTGCAGCTGGTGCAGCGATCGCTAATGTTTCCTACCTGACTGGCTTTGTTGAATTGCTTTTTCAGTCCAGAAACCGACATTTTGACCGACGTGTGGCACACGTGGCGGTAGAGGAAGCAGGCAGGACACGCACGCACGCTAGGAACGGAGCAGAGCGAGCACAGCGAAAACAACCGTACCAGAACTTCCCTGTCCTAGCGGGCCGGATGAACACAAATGTGCATTGGAAGGGAGTGAACGCCCGTAGAGTCAGGCCTTGCCTTGGACTACTCTATGCTAAAACAAGCGTCAGTACGGCAGGACTGCAAGTAGTGGCCCAGGCCAGGGAGAGGAAACGCTAGCGTGAAGGTCTGTCACTACCGGTTGCCTGACTAGTCACAACTAACTTGGGACACACAGCGGCAAGTACCAGGTAGCCAACACTACAAATCCGCATTGGTGACGGAAAAAGACAGCGACGCTGACCTGCGCTGAAGATAATAATACTGAAGCCAGTGAAGGGAAAACTTGATAAAGGCGAGATCGAGAGGAGAGGTAATCCAAGATCGAGCACTATCGACAGCAAAAATATTTTGCTCTTCAAGTGCAAGTACAGTGATGATTTTGTACACTCACTGTCTGTGCATGTGACTCAGTGTAGATCTACTCTCTGTCTGTACTTCACTTGTGTACCATGTCCATGGTGTACAGTCATGATTTTGTAGACTACAGACAGTCATCATGTAGATCTACTGACTAAAAGTCAGTAGAGTGTACTGTGTAGTGCAGACAGACTCATAGTCATAGTATAATAATGTATCAGTAGTCAGTACTGGGCAGTGGGCTCTAGCCTAGGACTAGGAGTGCACACACTGACTGTGACCTGGTGACACAGTCTGTATGGTGGGGGCATTGTGATGTAACATCATGCATGTGACGGCTTGAACCATGATCATGATTGTCACGACACGAGGCATGAAAAAGAGAATGATGAGATTGATGACCCACAGACAGTCACTGAGCGACTGACTCTATTATGAGTACATGTATGAGTATGACTGAGTCTGAGCCAGAATTGGCATAAAGGCAAGTTGGCAGCCACCGTACTAACGTTGTAACAGAAGCACATTACGTATCCAACTTCTAAAACTGAGACTGATAAACCGAAAAGAGGAGATTTAAAGGAATGAGTTCGAGAACGAGGCAAAACGATAGAGGAAGGGTGTCGGTAGCGCTGGAGATGGTGAAGCTAAACTGGCTTAGTATGGATGGGAAATTGATAGAATACATGATGAAAATATAAACTAGAGAAAGATTTTGACGACGCCATTGGAGAAATTCCCACCCCGGAAAAGAAGATGATTCAGAACATTCTTGGATGTTGTCCAAGTAGCCGGAAACTGTCGGGTCTTACACATCAGGTAGCATGGGCAGCTGTAGCCTGCAGTCGGTCCAATTTAGCAGGATTGCGTAGACAAGATGGCGAACAGCCAAACAGGGACAGCATGCTCCAATAAGGGTCGAGCATAACATTCATACAGTAAATAGATGGTTGATGAATAGTGTTCTACTGTACATTTTATTCTATTTTTTATTTACTGTCTGCACTTCATGGCACATAATGAAAATAACCAATACAAGGAAGTGAGGGTGAAACCAACCATGGACTGAGGGCAAAAATGCAAATTAAAGAGAAGAAAAAAAATAATAAAACAAATAAAATAAAAGAGGAGCGTTACTTACAAAGAGCCTTGTTGAAAGCGGAAAGTGTCTCAGCGCGTCGAATACTATTGATCCATACTGTAGACTGAAGTTAGTTATGATAAGAAGTACCCTGGCTAAGTACACTTCCCTCTGCCAATGGGGGTAACGCACGTCTTATTCAAGTTCAACTGTATAATCATTATTTAAGCAAGAAACGGGGTAAATCTAGGAAACAGCGCCGCTGATACGCATGCCGTGTGCTGTCTGAGTAACGGCCGGTGGTCACGTGATGTGTTGCCCGTGACGTCAGAAAACTGCGGCAGTAGCGGTGCTGCATAACGGCCATCCACTGAGCTCTAGTCCCGGCCAAATACCAATGAGTGAGCAGCTTGGAGGTATTGACTTATAAGCTTCACAAGATAGTAACTTGGTCTCCACTGTTATACAGGCTGATGTAGAGGTAGAGTTCACCTGTCACGTTGGTCAGTGTCTCGGTTGCTCCGGTACGCTCGTGACGACCGACTAACGTGTGATTGTCACAATCCAACGACATTTGAATGACGTCACCGGCTTGCCATGGCTGACCCAGTACAGTGCCTGTCCAGTTACCACCACCGGAGTGGCTGTACCATCCAAACGAAGTGGTCTTTCCTCTTTGATAGCCCTCTAGTAGTGGACGCTGGGGATTACACAAGAAGAACATGTGGTGAACTTTACCAGCAGTGATGCGATCAAGACGGAGGTATATCTCGTGTTTGCCGCTGCTCCATTTCCTCACGCCACATACTGACCTCCAGGCACCGCTGGAAGCAGCTCCACGAGTAACCGTACGGTTGTTGTTTGACAGTGCAAGATCAGCATGGCATTGGCTGGGATCAAACCGTGGTAGCGGATCCACGATGGTAACCGTTGCAGGACTTCCAGCTAAATGGTGATCTCCAATCATGGCTGATACCTGCACTGTACCCTTCTTTCCGGTCGTCTTGTACGTTGCAATCATGTTAGTGCCTTCATTAGGACTACTGTCGGACGTCATCACAGGCTGAATGGTGTCGGTGTTGTTGTCCGCAGATGTTACTTCAACGTGAACACCAGACAAATGTGCCTCCGTCACAGCCAGACTATCACCGTGAGCAGTCCTTGGCTCAATGATCACGGTAAGGTCGTCTCCCTCCTCAACACTGCCTGCAGTAGTCATGGTACTCTTCTCCGATGACAGCATACCAATGTCACTCACCACACCAGTTCTGGCAATGGCCGCAGTCAGTTCCTCGACGTGGTATGGTGAAAACAATAGAGTTCCCGGAGCAAACACTTTCACATCTCTCTCGGACGCACTCACAGCATTCTTCGCTGCTTCCTCCAGCCATCCACTCATCTTCAAGAAGTTCACATCCTCATTGCAGTTCTCTGCCAGATGTTGAACTTTCTTGCTATACAAGGCACCAGCAAGTACCTGCCGCTTCTGCTCTTCAAGGGGAAGAAGATGTGACAACTGCAATCGATCTACATCATCCAGAAGCTCCTGTTGACGTTTTTCAATGGCTTTCTTCAAACCACCAAAAACGTCGTTGATACGGGAGGATAAGCCTTCAGTTTCATCACGGAGTCCACTCAGTGCCGCTTCAGACTTCCTGATCGACTCGTCAAAAACACTGCCACTTCCATGTAACGTGCTAGTCAGCTTGGAGTTCAAGGACTGACGAATGCTAGAAGATGCATCAGTGATAGTCTGCACATTGTGAGCAGCATGATCACCACTGCTTACACATTGCTTACACACTAGCTGCTCACAACTCAAGCAATATGAACACTGTACAAACGAGGGGTGGAATGAGCATTTGTGGTGGCTGGCTGCAGTCTTACCACCTGTACATCCCGCAGCCTCACTGAGCGACACAACAGTGTGTTTGTACGACCTGCGCGATACAGGGTGGCTCTCTGCGTGGATAGCGCAGAGGTTGTCACCACAGTCCAAGCAAACAGCAACTGCTGCAGTATCATCAACGCATTCGTCACAAAACGTCTTCTGCACCGCTTCGTCTTTATTTCCATGACTGGAAACATTGCTGTCTGGCAAGCATAGTAGCAAGGGCACACCAGTAGTCGATGCTGGGGTAACTGTTCCACATTCAGGACAACCCACAGAGCCCTTGCCACTGATGTATTTTTCCAAACACTCCACACACAACGAGTGCAGACACTTCAACAGTTTGCCATGCTTACTACTACTTCTACATGACCCGCACTCTGGCCTGGACATGGCTGTCGATGACTAGCGTAATGACTATGTACTACTAGTAGACAACTGCACGAAAACTACCAACCGGACAGTGAGAATCCGTTACTTTCCAAAACAAAACAGAAGATGCAGAGAGAGGACTCTTTGTGTCATGTAGCCGTTTTTTGTACCGCACAACACCGACAATGATAAACTAGCGCCAGTACTGCACTCTGCATGCTGCAGTGCATGCAGTAGCGGCTGCATGAATCCTTCCTGGCCTGGTCGCGACTCGCGATCGCGAGTCACGACTCACGTGGCGCCATGGCATGTTCAGAAAATCGCGTGTGTCGATTCTGTCGAATCTGTCGATGTCATGACGTCAGCGCTACTCGATCTGAAATTTTGTGTCACAGTTTTTGAGTGATCGCGATCGCGATCGTTGAGAATTTTTTCATGACTGCATGGACTGTAATCTGGTAATCAATAATCTGAGCTCACGATCACCATCGAGCTTCTTCTGGTTCTTATCTTCACTAGCTTATAACTTACTTCTGATAGAATCCATTCGGCACTCTCCTGCCGTCGGCGACGTGAACAGACTCAGTGAAAGCGAGGCGTAAGAAGACCGTTCTGAATTAAATTAGCTGTAAAGAAAATGTGAGATGTCGGTTCTTCGCAAGTCGGAGGAGTATTCGAGCTTCAGGAGCACAGTATCTCGGAAGAAGGTTTGTTGAAGTTTTGATGAAAACAATTCAATTTATGTGTGTGTGGGGGGGGGGGGGTACGCCAGCGTCAATCCAGGACCGCATCCATTGCACTTCCACTGATCCGTAGCTCTCGACGCCAAAACCTAGATCACCTTGGCACAATCATTCTCACTTTGAAAACATATTGATGATCCGTTCAAGATTGTCACCACACCACAAAGAAATGTACTGCTCAAAGTTTTGTACGTGGTAACGCTTACATTCAAAAACCCTTGGAAATGGCCAGCTAGGGGTAGATCTCTTTCCCCCAAGTGTATTTGCATTTTGATTTAACTTATTGTGAACGTTCTGCTCTTTGCATAGTTGTAGATTATTACACCTCATAAAAGCATGGCAGAACATGTTGGTATCATTGGCACCTTCCCCTTTCGCACGTTATTTCATAACTTAGAACCTTCCAAGTTGGAAGGCTGTTGGCTTGCGCATTCGATACGTGGAGCTTAGCATCAGGCCGTTGAATGCCAGTGCCACATCAGTCACTACTGTGCTAACTGCTGCACGTATCTTGTTTATAGCTGTTAGTGTTGGTGTTGGACAAACTAATCTTGTTTATAGCTGTTAGGCCATGGTAAAAAATAAAGTCGATTCTCAGGTCATGAGCCTGTGAAAATCGGTGCGAGCGAGCGATTTTTTATTTTATTTCCCACAATTTTTTTATTTCCAAAGATAGGGTCACACATATGTACGTCACAGGTTCATATAATTATTTTATTATTCAGGCCAGAGAGTATAAAAATACCAGTATTTTACTACTCCTGATTCATGCCTTTCGCATTGACCGTTTTCATGCGCGCATATATGCATGCATAGAAATATTAAAAAATCGTCGGTGCGCCGCCAAAAATCGGTGCGCACGTACTTGAGAATCAAAGATAATTTTTACCATGGCCTTAGTGTTGTTAGCAAGAGTGCATAAACAAGAGTATGCAACTGTGGTTATGGGTCAGTGCGCGGCGCGCTGCCTTCATTACGTAACTTGCCTTCATCACGCTCTGAAATCATGCATTCAAACTCACAATTTCTCGTACGAGCCCATCTGTTTTTGCTCGATTCGTTCCAGTACCTACGCAATCTCTAAATTCTGGCGCGTGAACTCCAGTTCCGTACGAAAGTTCATTTCAAACCACTTGAAACCAGAGGAAAAGTGCGGTGTTTGATTTTCCGCAGTGCGCGGACTGCAGCTGAATGATGTAATGAAGGCAGCGCGCCGCGTATCTGGCCCATAGAAAAGAGATCACAGTTGCATACTCTTGTTTATGGACTCTTGTTGTTAGTGTTGGACAAACTAGGGATAACATGTACACGTTCGGTCCTTTCTTTTTAAGTTTCATTATTTCTACTTTTTTTGGAGTAGAGATAGCAACATACAGTGGAGTAGAGATAGCAACATACAGTGGAGTAGAGATAGCAACATACAGTGGAGTAGAGATAGCAACATACAGTGGAGTAGAGATAGCAACATACAGTGGAGTAGAGATAGCAACATACAGTGGACTCCTGATGTAAGAAACACCATTGTGCAGGAGAATTAGTTCTTCATAGCCAAAGTTTGTTATAACAGAAATGCACCTACACTGTGGGTTCAACATGGGACATGACAACAGTTCGCTATTGTCATGGAATTCGCTATATGCGAGTTCATAATAAGTGGAGGCGACTGTATTCTTTACACGCACCTCTGTTTAGAAAGAGGACTGAGAGAAACGAGACGTTTGTTGTTGCACTGTGCGCTTGTGTGTGTGTGTTCACTCCAGATCACTGTTGATAGTGTGCGTGAGGAGGTCTGGTCGGTGTACGATGCCGGCCCACGCTCCGTACGCTGCCCGCTGATATTCCTGCCGCCGGTGTCCTCCTATTCGGATATCTTCTATCTGCAGCTGATCTCGCTGGCATCACATGGATTCCGCGTGATTGCCGTGAGTCACGCCTGCATGGTCTTGCTCTGCTCTAGCTGCTTTGTGCTGGTGCCTGTACTGGCACTGGTTCCAATGCTGGTACTGGTGCTGGTACTGCTTCTGATGCTGAGAGCTTTGCCTTTATTTGAAAACAAGCTGGGTGTCGGAATGAAGAGTTCAAAAAGCGCAAGCAAGGAAGGCAATGGTGAACAAATCCAGTCAAGTAAATAGGAAAAATCAAATCGAATAAATAGGAAAATCTAATTAGAAAATAAAATGAAAGCTTCTGATGCTGCTTCTGATGCCGGTGCTGGTGCCGGTACTGGCAATGGTTCCAATGCTGATACTGGTGCTGGTACTGCTTCTGATACTGGTGCTGGTACTGCTTCTGATACTGGTGCCGGTACTGCTTCTGATACTGGTGCCGGTACTGCTTCTGATACTGGTGCTGGTACTGCTTCTGATACTGGTGCCGGTACTGCTTCTGATACTGGTGCTGGTACTGCTTCTGATACTGGTGCCGGTACTGCTTCTGATACTGGTGCTGGTACTGCTTCTGATACTGGTGCCGGTACTGCTTCTGATACTGGTGCTGGTACTGCTTCTGATACTGGTGCTGGTACTGCTTCTGATACTGGTGCCGGTACTGCTTCTGATACTGGTGCTGGTACTGCTTCTGATACTGGTGCTGGTACTGCTTCTGATACTGGTGCTGGTACTGCTTCTGATACTGGTGCCGGTGCTGGTGCTGGTACTGCTTCTAATCCTGGTACTGGTGCTGCCAGTGCGTTGTCTTAAATTAATATGTCTATCGGCCGCCTCTAGCGCCTTGTTGGGTTGTGCTGCTGCCATTAATGATGGCGATGGTGCTGTGTGTGATGATGATGATGATGGTGGTGCCAGTGGGGGGGGGGGGGGGGGCTTCGCAATAACAGAGGCTGTAGGCTAGTGGAAATTCACTAGCTGTCAATCAGAGCAGGCTCCACAGGGTGAACGCCCACTCAACGATCCACAAGAGGAGATGCAGGCAAGGGGTATGGTAGCTGAGACCCAATAGAGTGCAACTTACTTGAAATGTGCAAAAGTAAGACTCTGTGTGTGTGTGTGTGTGTGTGTGTGTGTGTGTGTGTGTGTGTGTGTGTGTGTGTGTGTGTGTGTGTGTGTGTGTGTGTGTGTGTGTGTGTGTGTGTGTGTGTGTGTGTGTGTGTGTGCCAGCTAGTTCGGTTGGTGGGTACACTTATGCCGGATAGTGTTGGGTCTGTTGCCAACGGGCTCGGCTACTTGAAGGTGTAATGTTGTACCTACCACCTTTGTTGGTTTCAGGGTTCATATACTTTCTATTTGAAGTATACATACCTGTTAACCATGGACTGCTTCTGGCTAGATTAACTCTTGTGTAATCAATGGTGCTAGTGAAGCTTATTATCAGATCCACTCTGATTTAGCCACCCACACTAGTAGCAAGTATTACCTTCACTGGGGGCAGGGGTGACTGCAGTTGGATCCCTGGACGGATACCCTGATGCTGTCAATCCTTTTTCTGCACCTTGTCCTCACCCACTTACTGAGGTGTGGTGAGCCCATAAGTGGGATCATTTTCAAGTCCACCCAGAGTTTTGGGGATTTCAGGGGGTGTCGGCCGTTGGGCGGTTCAATAGCCAATTGAGTCATCTTTCCAAGATTCCTTTTGAGTCTCTCTCCCCTCTCCCGGGGAGACCCACGTGACCAGTTTTGGCAGTGTGCAACAAGTACAAGTGTGTGTGTGTGTGTGTGTGTGTGTGTGTGTGTGTGTGTGTGTGTGTGTATGTATGTATGTGTGTGCATGGGTGGGTGGGTGTCTGTCTCTCTGTCCATCTCGTGTTTGACTGACTGTGTGTGACTGTGGATATTGTAATACAGGTCGACTATCCAGCTGTTTGGTCTCATGATGCATGGTGCGAGAGCTTTCGCAAGCTGCTCGATGCACTGCAGCTTGATCGAGTGAGTTGTGGTGCATGTTGTTTTGTCCATGTGTGATTGTCCAGTGGTAGATTATCAATGTCTACAGTGCATTTCAAAACTATAGACGCGTAGGGTTTTTGAAATATTTCAAATTTGGCTGGAACTTTTTGAGAATAGTTTTCAGAATATTGCTCAGGATCGCTCCACAATTACTCTCATGTAGTTTCTAACGGATTGGATAACAGATGCCCAATTTGGAAAAATTTATGCACAAAGTGATCACAGATTTTATGTGGTATAGATGCTGGCATAACGGTTTTTGCCTAGGTACGCGTCTATAGTTTTGAAATGGACTGTAATTACACCTTTTTTTGCCATGGTTCGAATTTCTTGGGTTGCACTTGTGTACAATTATATTACGGCCATTTTGGACTCGCCGCGCATGCTGCACGTAAAGTCTAGCCAATCAGAGCTATGGAAAATTCAAAAATCCGATAAAGAACATTTGAGTCATTGGCCTTTGTTCATTTCGGTACGGAATCTAGGCTCGCAACGCAGGTGTGTAGGCCACGTATTCACTTTTATTTTTGAAGGAAATTTGAAATCGCCTAAGTAGAAGGGAAATCCGGGTTCACGACTAATTCTGTGCGATTTTGCCCTGCTTTCCCGTCTCATGAAGAGAAATGGCTGTCCTAGATGGCAGAACTGTTTCAAGAGGTCTGCGGATGAGATTCTAATAACATGCTGAGCCCTCGACCATCAAAATCTGAGAAGAAATGGGAGCAAAGGATTTTTTTGTGAAGACTCCCGGCCGGCACTGCACTGCAACAGCAAAGCACCAGGCAGCGCTAGCTTGCCTTCTTAGATGTGCGCATACTGTCAGCTTTTGAGTCTATTTTCCTCTCGTACTCAGTGTCTGCTCTAGGATTTCAAACCAACCGGGTACACAATGTACCTGGCACAACTCTTGTAACCGGGTCAGAGCCGGGTACGTTCATGTGCAGCTACACAACATGACGGAGTCGGAATTATCTTACGACTCCCTGGTTGAGTACCAACCAGGTCACAGGTGACACGGTGTTCTTTTCTAAACGGGTCCAAGCCCCCCCCCCCCCCCAACCGGGTCGCAGGTCGCTGACCCGGCTCTGGAGCAGACACCTGATACTCACCAACAGTCTATCACTATTGTACTTGAATTAAATGAATAGACGTACTTGTTTGTTTTGTTGTTTGTTGTTTTTCCGACCGTTGTAGGTACATATATTTGGCTCGTCACTAGGCGGCTTCCTGGCAATGAAGTTTGCTGAGTATACGTGTGTCAACCAGCGTGTCCAGTCCATACTGGTGTGCAATGGATTTGCAGACACGGCAGTCTTTGAGCGGTCGCGCTCTTCTTCAGCGTAAGCTGCCTTCTGTTTAATTGTGCGTGTGTGTGTGTGTGTGTGCGTATGTGTGCGTGCGTGTGTGTGTGTGTGTGCACGTGTGTGTGTGTGTGTGTGTGTGTGTGCTGCTGAATGGTGCAATCCCAGCACAAGTTGTTATGTCTAACATAGCTTGTTCGCTATCATCGCTTCAGCGATGGGCAGCAGTATGCGTGCGTGTGTGGGTGAGGGATTCAATGGCCAGAAAAAAGCTGCTTCAATCAGCCGTGTGGTGTAGACCAGGCTAAAATTACTAAATTAGTGGCGGTCAATTCATCTGCCTTGCAAGCTGTTGAATGGTGCAATCCCAGCACAAGTTGCTATGTCTAACATAGCTGTTCGCTATCATCGCTTCTACGATGGGCAGGTCTGAGGTGAGGTGAAGTGAGGGTGTGGGTGTTTGTGGGTGGGTGCTCGTGCTTGTGCTAACTCAACTCGAATGATGACCTCACATGGGTCACATGACTTCATGGTCCAGACTTACTGCTTTTTGATCGTATTTACACCGTGCCCTGTGTGTGTTTGGCCAAATCAAGTTGCATGTCCCAATGAGGTAGGCCGTGCTTTCACCACTGACTCTTGCAGAGGATTGTCTGTGTGTATTTGTCTGTATGTAGGTACCGGTAGAATTGTTTCTTCTGACTATACTATGTTGCTGCTGCTGCTGTTTCCAATCTTTATTCTCACGATGGCCGTGTTGTCGTCGTTGTTGTTGCTCTCATTGCTCTTGTTGTTGTTGCTGCTGCTGTAGATTCTGGGCAATGCCAGCATTCCTGCTCAAGAAGTGGGTCCTGTCACATTTACCGACTGGACCAGCCGAGAGCTCCATCGCCGACTCTGTCGACTTTGTTGTGGACCAGGTGAGGGCTGTCAACAGTCGTACATCATCACTTGCTTGCTGAGACTGTGCACTTGCCACTTGGGCATGGACATGGCTAGGGCGGGAAACCACATGCATGTTCGTGCTTAACCCTTTGAGGGACTACTACCACGAAATGCACGGATTCCTACAGGGTACGCGCAGAGGCGCGCAACAGTCCCAGTACGCATTTGAAAATTATCTAATAGATGATATGGCAAATAACGTGCAACTAGACTTGAGAGGGCATCGCACACAAGTTGCATACACATTCTACTACAATGTGTACACGGTAGTCCCTGAGCTCTGCAGGAATACAAGTCACAGGTAACCGTACAACTTTGAACTTTGCATGCAACTACTCTGCAATGCCTTCTCAAGTGTAGTTGGACATTATTTGGCATATCATCTATTTCACTCACCAGCTTTGGAATGGCTTCATCGTCTCTTTGGAAGAGTGAATCGGGGATTATGGGCGTGGTGAGGTGGTCCTGCATCAGGAGGAGGGGGAAGTGAGGAGCTGTCCAGCTTAGCTTCCTGTGCTTTCCACTCCGGTGCAAAGGACGATCGATGCGCCAGCACGAATGGCGGGAGCGGACGATCGAATAGCAATTGGGCAGAACTGGATATGTACTGACCGTGTTACGCCACTCCATTAGGCCGCCCTGGAATGCGTCGGTGGCCAAGTTACCATCGTTTGTGGTCTTCGTAATCAGATATCCATAGCCTTCACAGCGGACTCGTCGTGGCCATTTGATTGCGGGAAGTGCGGGGTTGATGTGATATGCTCCATCTGCCAACGGTCGCAGAATTCAGTGAAGCGCGGCGATGCATACTGTGGACCACCATCGGTTGAGATAGAACTGCTAACTAGTTACTATTCTCAAAGACCTACGATTCAACGCATTTCAAGATATTTTGCTTTGAAATAATTAGCATGTTTGCACCAAGTTCCTACTTTGTGGATGTGTGCTCACTGCAATTATTTGATTGCTCATGCACGCGGGCCCCTGTATGTTGTGGGTGTGGGTGTGTGGGTGTCTGTATGCCTGTGTGTGTGTGTGTGTTCTTAGCTGGAAGGAATGCCCCGCAATGAGCTGGCAGCACGCCTAACACTCAACTGTCTAGCAGGATATGTGGAACCCCAGAAGCTATCATCAGTTGCCATCACCATCATGGATGTAAGTACAGTCAGTATCGCCTATAGCGTTGGTGTTTGATTTTGAGCATTTTATCACTATAAGCGATATATTACTATGACCGATACTGCATGGAATGTATGCGAGTGGGGTGTCAAACGACTCAGCGCGCCGTGCACATACGCACTACATACATATACAATGTCATGTTGCTGGCTGTAGCTCCTGACACACAAAATCAGCATTTCCTCATGATGGAGGCATATTTTGGCAACTTGTACGTGCTGAACTCACCAAACAACACTCACTGCACAAGTTCTTCAAGAAGAAGTAACACCCTGTTCTCCTCTGCCATCACTTGATTTTACATCAATCACTATAACCGATGCAAAAATAATGTAATAAAGGTCTTTTGAAATATGAATTTGATCACTATAGGCGATAAATTACTATAGACGATTATTACTATACGCGATAACTGTGTATACTTAGTTATGGCAAATGAAAATGAATTTGAGAAATTGATCACTATATCCGGTATATTACTATAGCCGCCAACCTTATAGGCGATACGGACTGTACATGCATAGTATTTCATCAGTTTACTGCCTTTTTTTGGAGTGCTACTGGTCACACTTACGCGCCTGTGAGGACGCGCTGAATACACATTTGGATGTTGTTTCCCTTTCTCGATATCTCGGGCTCATTGGAAAGCCTCTTGAAGAGAGGATCACGATGCATGGCAAGCTCACCTTCAACTGCGTGGTCGAATCTGGATCATTTGAATACTGTACTTATACAAGGACAATACTGAACAACCATTTTAGCAGCAATTGTCCTCCTCAAGCCGGTTCACCGTCCTTCACTCGTCTCGGCTCAATTTTAGAGTTGTGCTAAGAGTGATGCCATGATCTTCGTGGACACACGGCTTGCACAAGATTGTCAAACTAGTCTTCTTTCTTTGGTGTGTCTCTCTTCCATCACTTCACCCACTTGTGCAGTGGTGCTGTATTGTGGTACCAGTGATGGTGGAAACCAGGTGGAGGATTTCTACTTGACAATCAGTGCTTGCGACTTCTTTGAAGTTCTTGCATACCTGTAACAATAGATGTGCATTGTGGTGTGTGTGTGTGTGTGTGTGTGTGTGTGTGTGTGTGTGTGTGTGTGTGTGTGTGTGTGTGTGTGTGTGTGTGTGTGTGTGTGTGTGTGTGTGTGCGTTCGTGTGTGTGTGTGTATGTGTTGTGTTGTGTGTATTGTGCTCTGCAGGTGTTTGATGATAGTGCATTGAGTGTTGGTGTCAAGGAGGAGATGTACAAGTGCTTTCCAGAAGCAAAGCGTGCACATCTGAAGAAAGGTGGCAACTTTCCCTACCTCAGCTACAGTGCTGAAGTCAATGTTTATATTCAGGTACATATTGCTGGATCTTCTTCTGCTGTTGTGCTGCTGTTGTGCTGCTGTTGTGCTGGTGCTGTGGTGGTGCTGCTGCTGCTGCTGATGTTATGCTGCTACTGTGGCACTGCTGTGGTGGTGGTGCTGCTGCTGCTAGCAGTAGTGGTGGTACTAGTAGCAGTGTTGCAAGTATCACTGCTACGGCATTCTTAGTGGCCATGATTGACTTAGTGGCCACAACCTGGTGCTTGTTTGCATGGATTCCACGGCTTACTTGTTGAAGCCGGTTTGTTGTAGTATGCTTGCCTTGCTGCATACACAGAGGATACCGGTATCCAGGTCAAGAGACCCGGTACTGATTATGATTCGCATAATATACGGACATCATGGAACTTTGGGCTGTGCTGTCTGGTGTGCAGAGTCTCTCTCTCTCATTTCTTGTGTGCTGTCGTTCTAACCTGTACTGTGCGTGTGCTGCTCTGTTTGTTCTCTCTGCTCTCCAGGTTCACTTGAAAGCGTTTGAGAATGATCGCTTCTCGGCAAAGGAGGACGACATTGACGCCTCTGTGGCAGCTGCTGCTGGTGGTGGCGGTGCTAGTTATGCGGCGGCTGCAGCAGCGGAAGATTGATGTGGCTCCTCTCCTCCAATGTCGGAGCTTGTGTGTGTGCTACGGTTAGCGAGTGTCATGCGTAAAATCATCTCGCTCAATCTGCTCTTGCTCTCCAGTGTGCTGTCGGCAGCATCCCTGTGGAGACCGATGGGACTGCACTCCCTGAGCTGAATTCCTGCTGATGCCTTTATAAGTTAATTGTTCGCCGCTGATTAGTCGTATAAGTGCTGCTTCTGCCTGCACAACATGTGATAGCAACAGTCCGTTCCGCTCTGCTGGTGTGTGTGTGTATGGTGTGTGTGTGTGTGTGTGTGTGTGTGTGTGTGTGTGTGTGTGTGTGTGTGTGTGTGTGTGTGTGTGTGTGTATGGTGTGTGTGTGTGTGTATGGTGTGTGTGTATGGTGTGTGTGTGTGTGTATGGTGTGCGTGTGTGTGTGTGTGTGTTCCTCGTCCATCCCCGGCCGCTGACACACACACGCGCACTGCTGGTAGCAGTCTAGTCTAGTAGGACCCGCAATGGACAGTGTAGTGTTGTTGCTAGTCACAAGTGACACACACACACACACACATTGAGATTACTCCACTAGAAGAACAGGAAAGCCTCGTCATGGATGATGTCGTGGATGATGTCACATGGATGAGATGATGTCAGGGATAATGTCGTTACTTTGCTGCTTGTTACGTTCACTTCATGCTGACGACTGAATCATAAAATTGCCGTGCGCGCACACACATCTGTAGCAATTCTCTCTTGCAGAACTTGTGTTTCTTATTACAAGTAATCTGCTCTTTGGCTCTGTTCCATATGCTTCCGTATCATTCAAAATGCTATCAGCATAATTATGCTGTTATATATCCAGGACCCTCTCCGCAAAGAACCTTACTTTCTACCAATATTCTTAGGATGTGTTTTTAAGTCCATTCCCGTTCTGTTTGCTGTCTTCTGTAGTATTTGCTGGCTATGACTGCAGATGTCAAGGCTTTGTGCCAGATCGTTTCACTGTTTGAATGAAATCCCATTCATTGTGACTGCTGTGTGCTGATGCTATGTACGTGTACGTGCTAGTTACTGGTTTGTGTGCTGGTGAGTGTGTGTGTGCGTGTGTGTGTAACCCAGGGACGCAACCGCCATCGCTGTTCAACTCACTGCCACCGACCAACGGCCAGAGAACGGGACAAGTTCCCGCATATGTGTATCTGCTCTCGCCGGTTCCGACTAGTCTCGCATCTGGAGCGCCATCGGGTGGCGTGCTCTTTCTTTCTCTCTCTCTCTCTCTCTCTCTCTCTCTGCTGCCCCTCCGGGGCCCACGTGACCCTAGTGGTAGTGGACAGGACAGGTGTGTGTGTGTGTGTGTGTTTGCCGATGTACTCCGTGTGGTGTAGACCAGGTGTGCATTGGTGGTCGATTCACATGGCTTCGCAGGTTGTGTGAATTGGACAGTTATCTGGCGCTAGTCTTGATCTGTCTCATCCGGATCTTGTCCGCTGTCGTTGCTATAAGAGAAAATCTGTGTGTGCACATCCAGTGCATTTTCAGATTTGCGTGCTTCTCTTGCGACGGGCATATACATGGTACATGGTGTGTGTGTGTGTGTGTGTGTGTGTTGTGTGTGCATGTGGGTTGGTGGTGAGAGTGTGCATGACCCCCCCCCCCCCCCCATGTGCTACTGCATGAAGAAATGCATGCGTCACCAATTGTACACATTCCCGAAGAATGTGCACCTCCCGCATAATATGCAGTGTTGTCCCCCGGCAGAATTTCATGCAATGGTGATCATGATGGCATTGTTATGATGCTATGCTCGTTGCACACGCGATCTCTGATGGTACATCGGTATACATACCTACACACGTCTCCAATGCTATACATGCATGTAATGATATTAGATAAACCTTAGAACATGCTGTCAACCAACAACATGACTGTTATGATGTAGTAGTAGTATTTGTTGCAGAGTGGTCCGTGCAGCACATGCACAATGTATTGCTATACCAAGCAGAGTGCTTGCTGCATACAAGCAATATATTAATAATTATTATTTATTCCCGTAGCTATGCAGAAGACGTTACTTCAGTAACGTCTGGCGCTAGCCAGGGTCCACACAGCTTCAATTTGGTGTTTGTTTGTTTGTTTGTTTGTTTGTGTCACGGCTGGAGCTATCCCGTATCTGTCCCGTATCTGTCCCGTATCTGTGACTACAAAGGCTCTACAGGATTGTACATAACAGCTGTCCACAATATTTGCGGGCCCCTGTATCTGTCCCGTACCGTACCAATATTCGTCGTATTATGTATACAACTCCCTGATGTAGAGGGAGATTTGGAAAGAAATAGGGAGACGAAGAGGAAATTAAATTAGAATAGACGCCGATTAGGTGATATGATGCGTCAGCATAAACATACTTTGGAAGAGAGATCCCGTCGTCTCCAAAAAAAGCGTGAACGAGCGATTCAGTGCCGATCACAGGAAACGTCGGAAGAGAGATCCCGTCGACTCCAGAACGCCCGTGATCGGTAGAGTCCGGCGGTACCAGGCAGTTACGTCAGGACAGACATCCCTTTGAGTCCAGAACGCCCATGATCGGCAGAGTCTAAACCGATCCCAGGAAACGTCAGGACAGACATCTCGTCGAGTCCAGAACGTCCGTGATCGGCAGAGTCAGCGCCGGTCCCAGTAAACGTCAGGACAGACATCCCGTCGACGCGCAGAAAAACTAACAAAAATGATCTGCAGCCTCTTTTGCCGTCGAACAGGATCCGTTTTTATATAGGAGACTGTAAATTTATGTAATAGAGAGGTTAAGATGCACGTTATTTCCGACGTGACGCGCAATTTCACGTCAAATTTGGCGTAAAACTCCAAATTTCGACGTGAGCAGCAGGTCACTCGCGTTGATTTTTCGACGTGCGAGCCAAATAACGCGAGCTGAACTTTCGCGTCACGTCAGAAATAACGTGCATCTTAACCTCTCTATTGTCCAAATTTCGACGTGAGCAGCAGGTCACTCGCGTTGATTTTTCGACCTGCGAGCCAAATAACGCGAGCTGAACTTTCGCGTCGCAGACATCCCGTCGACGCGCAGAAAAACTAAATCTGCAGCCTCTTTTGCCGTCGGACAGGATACGTATTTTAGGAGACTGTAAAGTTATGTGATGTGCTCCACAGGCAACCATGCATTCGGCGTCGTCATTGGCTCAACAGGTCAATGCACATGTATTACTACAAAAAGGCCAGAAAATCCGATCACTGTATTAAAATCAACTAATGTTCGCTAAGAAAGGTTTGCTCCCCACACCGGAGCTCGCGCTATTCCGCCGACTTTACTTGACACTTGACTGACTCACGACTGCCATCCAGAGCACACGAGAAGTCCATCGAACCTTCGACTCGGCAAATCTGCAAGAAAGCACCACTGCCTGCTCAATACACAGTGTTTCGGGGAATTCACCCCTCATCAGTTGAGCTTGAGTAGGCTGAGGAAGATTGTGCCTGAAGAGCACCACTTATATAGTGCTCTCCAGGCACAAACATCACCAGGGATACAAACTTACAGAGACGCTCCGCTTCCAGCGCGATAAACACCTCGTGAACACCAGATAGTAGCGTGAGTCGCGAGCTCCGGTGTGGGGAGCAAACCTTTCTTACAAATCATCGCCGAAGTCGCAACCACTACTTCGTAATGTTCGCTGGCGATTTAATTTCGCTGATTTCGCCGCTTGGTACCAACCGGCCAAAGTAAATCGCAGGCCAACGTTTGTCATATAGGCAAATGATGCATGATTGAGCAATGGATGCATGTGAGAGCAAAAATACCGATCGATTTCAAATTTGACGTGAAACTGCGCGTCACGTCGGAAATAACGTGCATCTTAAAGGGGAAGTACATGTATATCCTAAAATCAAATTTTCACCAGTTGTAGTCTTCGGGGTGCTGAGTCGAATGGTCTTGGTCCGAGGAAGCTGAGACGCTCCCTTCCTACTTGAATCCCAATCGAACTCGCGCACTTCCACCGAAACTGGGTGACTGCGCCCTACTAGATGGGGATTTGTATGCAAAATGTCACTAAAAGCGCCATTTCGTTCTTATAAAAGCACGGATGACCGCGATTGGCCCATATGTTGTAGTCTTTTGGACGCTGAGTCGACTGGTTTTGGTCCGAAAAGGCTGCGATGCAGCGTTCCTCCTTTATTCCCAATCGAACATGGTTGAACAAGCGGTCACGTGCTCCTGCGTACACCTGGTCACCGTGCCTGCAGGGTACAACTTACTAGCCTGTTTGACCTTTTTTGGGTGCAGTCCTGTCACTCGAGTTGAACTCGAGTTGAACCTTGGTGTGAAAGTAAAGTTAGTTGTCGCCTGCTGGCGCGGTGACCAGGTGATTTGGGCACCCAGGAGCACGTGACCGCTTGTTCAACCATGTTCGATTGGGAATAAAGGAGGAACGCTGCATCGCAGCCCTTTCGGACCAAAACCAGTCGACTCAGCGTCCAAAAGACTACAACATTATGGGCCAATCGCGGTCATCCGTGCTTTTATAAGAACGAAATGGCGCTTTTAGTGACATTTTGCATACAAATCCCCATCTAGTAGGGCGCAGTCACCCAGTTTCGGTGGAAGTGCGCGAGTTCGATTGGGATTCAAGTAGGAAGGGAGCGTCGCAGCTTCCTCGGACCAAGACCATTCGACTCAGCACCCAGAAGACTACAACTGATGAAAATTTGATTTTAGGGTATACTTCCCCTTTAACCTCTCTAATAGAGAGGTTTCTATTTCTCATCGGCCAAAATTTGTTGATTTACAATAAGGAGATAAAAAGAAAAGAAGGAGCAAAACAAAAGTAGATGATTATTAGAGAAATAACAATCCGCAATAAATTCTGCAAATACTTTTGCCTAACTCATATGCAAACCGATTGAAACGTTTTTGCAATACAGTGATGTGGCCAATCAACGAAAAAGACATTCCCATCAGTTCTTATAACATGTACGATGAGCTAGGCAAAAAAGCATAAAAGCATAGCGCAGGGCCCTGAGCTTCCAAGCTCTCTCGTTACAAGGGCATCCCCCTATGTATATGGTCTCAAGTGACTCAGTTTGTCTGTGTGTTAACTTAGTGCATGCGTTGAGTCCATGGGCAAGGGAGCTACTAGTATCATTGAAAGCTGCAAGTGGATAGGGGGCCGTCCAAGGTTACCAATAATATTTTCAAAACGAAATGTTTTCGTTTGTGGGTGGGTGGGTTTGATGGAGTTTCGTTTTGAAAGTAATCATTGAATGCTGATGGAGAATGCCCAGTTACTTCTGGGTGTCGAAAATTGACATCAATATTTTATCGGAATTCGTTTTACCTGCAGAAAAGGTGGGTGGGTGGGTGGGGGCTGAAAATACTAAAACTTTTCGTTTTGTAAAAACAATCGGTAACCCCGGACGGCCCCTAAACTGTGGCAGAGATCTTGACCTATTGCATTTTTTCTCTGGTGCAATGTACACGACTTTTGTATGCCTTGTCCCGGTACAAGCCTCTTCGAGACGTTTCAAGGGCAATTTCGATCGGAATTCAAGAACATCATCGAAGAGACCCTGGGACCACGACTGGACAGCCTTGAAAAGAGGCTTGACGAGCAGCGCCAAGACATCAACCGCTTGTCAGCGGAGAACCGTAGGCTGAAGGCAGCAGTAGAGAAATGTAATGACGATGTTGGCAAGGCGGACAATGGCGCCAAGTCCGCCATTGTCGAGATGAAGAAAACATTTGCCGACATCACTGCCAGACATCCTGCCGCCAGTCCAAATTCTGCTGCAACCTCCAAATACGGACTGTCTGAGGACACACTGCGTGACCTTGTTGCGGAGGCCAGTGAGCAGCAGAACAGAGTAAACAATGTCATCCTTCGCGGCGTACAGGAGCTCCCATCGGAGAACCTGTCTGCCATAATCGGCACCCTCGCCCCACAACTCGCTCCAGAGGACATCAAATCTGCAGCCCGGCTTGGCCCCAGCCATTCATCACGGCCACGGGATGAAACAT